AAAAAGTTACGGGAATTACGAAAATTACGAGTTTTCCAAGAATTGCAATGACTAAGGAAGAATTATAGAAATAGGGAGAATTATCTGAGAAATTACGGAAATAATGAAAATTCACAATAAAAAATTTTTGAAAATTACGAGAATTACGAATTTTTGAAAGTAACAAAAACTTAGGGGGAATTATAAAATAAGTAGGTAACTGAATATTTTGAGAAATTACAGAAATTAAAAAACTGAGAAACAACAGGAATTATTCAAAAATTACGGGAATTTTGGAAAGTTACGAAAAATTAAGAAAAAGTTATGGGAATTACGAAAATTAGGAGTTTTGCAAAAATTGCAAAAACTAAGAAAAAATTATAAAAATAAGGAAATTTATTTGAGAAATAACGGCTTTCAACAATTTTTTTTCGCAATTTAACCTTCACTTTTCCGCAATTTCAAAGTCCAAACTCACTTTCTCGCAATTTCACCAAAATTTTCCGCGAATTTTGCCTCACTTTTCCGTTATTCTTTCCTCATTTTTCAATAAGTATAAGCTCACTTTTCCGCGATTTTCGCCTCACATTGCCGCAATTTCAACCTAATTTTTCCATAATCTTTTCTTTTGTTTTTCGTATTTATAACCTAATTTTTTCTCGATTATAACCTTGCTTTTCCGCCATTTTTACTCAACTTTTTCGCAATTAGGGAATCCAAACCACGTGACTTTTGCCAACCAGCCGGCATTTTGAAATTTTTATGAGGTTAGAATACGGGTTTTTACATGTCAACGATGTCAGAAAAGTGTCAGATTTGAGAACTCGCCCCGTGTATTGATAAAGCCTGGTACTCATAAAAGCGAAATTCGCTCTTTTTTCAACGTCAAATTGTCGATGCAATGTCAAAAAAGAGCAAATTATGAGTACTAGGCTTAATCCTGCCAAAAAAAAAACATATGTGTTTTGTTTATTGTTTGCCAACCAGACGCCATTTGGACAGGTCGTTGGATTGCCTAATTCCAACATTTCCAACCTCATTTTTCCGTAATTTTTACTTCTATTTTTCGTAATTCCAACGTCACTTTCCAGCAATTTTGACACTCACTTTTTCGCAATTTTTAAAAAGTTACGGAAAATTGCAGGAATTAGAAAAATTACTGGAATTATAAAAATAAAGAGAATTATAAAAATTACAAAAATTATAGGAATTATGAAAATCACGAATTTTTGAAATTATGAAAATTACAAAACTTGGGGAGAATTTAAAAATAACGAAGTTTTTTAAAAATTTAGGAGAATTAAAAATAAGTACAAAAAATTACGGGAATTACGAAAAAATTATGATTTTTGAAGTTATGGGAAAATTACGAAAAAGTTATGGGGGAATTACGAAAATTATGAGTTTTTCGAAAATGCAATAACTAAGGAAAAATTGACTTTTTTAAGCAAAATTCATTTTCTTACATTTTATTTTTTTTCTAGAAAACTGGCAAAAGGATAATTGTGGAAATTTTTCAGAAAAAAGAGGAAAGTGAGGATCTCATTAAAACAAAATTTCAAAATTTTCCAGTAAAAAATCACTTCAGGAAAAATTCTGGAAAATTGACTTATTTAAGCAAAATTAAGGAAAATTCATCCTCTCACCTTTCACTTTATTTCTGGAAAACTAATAAAGCAAAAGTTGTGAAATTTTTCCAAGAGAAAAAAGAAAATAAGGAGCTCATTATAGGAAAATTTCGAAATTTTCCAGTGAGAAATCACTTGGAAAATCGACTTTTTCAAGTAAAATTAAGGAAAATTCATCCTCTCACATTTTTTTTTTTTTGGAAAACTAGCAGAAGAAAAATTTTGAAATTTTTACAGGAGAAAGAGGAAAGTGAGAAGTTCATTATATGTATGTATAAAAATTTCAAAATTTTCCAGTAAAAAATCACTCCAGAAGAAATTCTGGAAAACTAACTTTTAACCAAAATTCATTTTTTTAATTTTAAATTTTTTTCTGGAAAACTGGCAGAAGGAAAATTTCAAAAATTTACAGTGAAAAATCACTCTAGGAGAAATTTTATTTATATATTTTCGGATAACTGAATAAATTCTCTTCTAAGTTAAAAAATGTATTACAAAACAATAATTCCGAAGGTGCTCCATGAATTAATCTATGACATAACTTTTTCTCTAAGTTATGACGTCATCGATGACGTAAGTAAAAACTTGCGTGCCGTGAAACAAACTATATGTTTGTTTGAAATTTCAGACATAAAAAAGTCAATTTTTTTTAAAAAAAGGCAAATGATGACGTAAGTACAAACCCACAAAAAATGGTGCTGCAACACCCCTCAAATTTGGAGCCTAGTTGCGCTTATGCTACTCGCTTTGGCCAATTTTGCGCACGTTTCTGGGGAAAGTTATTAAGGCATTAAAAATTTGCACTTTCCCCCCCGTTTGTCGAAAAATTAAAAGATCCTATGCTTGTCTCCCCACTCTCCCCCCCCCTCGTTTTTCAAAAAGTTGAAAAATCCTTATGCTACTAGGTTCACCTAATTTTGCACAACTTTGCACACCTATTTTCAAATTTTGCAAAATGTGCACTTTTCCGCCGGTTTTTTGAGAAAATTAAATTTTTTTATGTTACTCAATTCGGGTTGAAAATAAACGTACAAAATTGAGTGAACCCAGTAGCAAGGGTTTTTCAATTTTTTGACAAACAGGGGAAAACGTGCAAATTAATACAACATTCAACTCCCAGAGGAATGTGTAAAATTAAAAATAAGGTGTGCAAAATTGTCCAAAATTAGATGAAACGAGTAGCATAGGGGTCTATCAATTTTTTTAAAAACGGGTGGGGTTATGCAAATTTTTGATACGATATAACTTTCCCTAGAAAAGTGTCCAAATTTTGAAAATCAGTGTGCAAAATTATGGGTTATTTATTTTTGAAATTTGTCTATTTGTCGAAAAAAGCAAATTTTCAAAGACGGGGGTAGTCCTGACAACCTGTTCACCTCTCGACCTGTCATATTTTGACAGCTGTCAAAAATTACATTTGACAGCTGTTGAGTATTCCAAATTGTATTATCATCCGAACTTAAACTGTATGCAAAATTTCAGCAAAATCTATTGCAAAGAAATGGTTCACAAATCTGCATCTGTTACATTTGACAGTTAACACCTGTCATCAGTGGTCTAAAATGTATTATCATCCGAACTTAAAGTGTATGCAAAATTTCAGCAAAATCCGTTGCGAAATAATGGTTCAAAAATCTGCACCTGTCACATTTGACAGTTGACACCTGTCATTAGTGATCTAAAATGTATTATCATCTAATCACCTGAACTTGAAGTGTATGCTAAATTTCAGCAAAATCCGTTGTGAAGATATGGTTCAATCTGCAACTGTCTCAATTTGACAGTTGACACCTGTCATTAGCGGTCTAAAACCTTATTATTATTATTGCCTTTCATATTAAACATTAAACTGGTTTGAGGCACATCGATCGGATAGTTTCAAAGTCTATAACGGACATAGGTAGACACACAGACAGACAGACAGAAACAATTTTTGTGTTTTATTCCTCTATTTATTAGTAACGGAAAATTACTACCCACAAAAATACATAACTATTTACCTATTTATTATTTTTTTTAAATTATAAAATATTCCTATTCTATGGTAGGTATATGTATAATAAGTACCTATATAAAACACAGGCATTTAATTTGTTATACAAAAGACAACTTGGCAACGCAGCCTAGCAAATACGCGTGCATTTAGTGCCTCAAATTAATTTAATCGCAGAAACGACTGATTTTACTAGGACACTAGCGCCATCACGCAGGTTTATATTTTCGCCGCCGGACGGTTCTTCTAGAGACGTTAGTCTATAATATTCTTTGGTACAATACATTACAGGCACAATAAAGCTTTCCTTCCGTTAGGAAAAATTGATAACCGCAGAGACTTGCCAAATGAAAGGTGTAAAGGAGTCACTATAGAATAAATACAGTTTTTCAATAAGTTGTTAGGAATTCCATTGGGACCCAAAGTGTTTTTACAAGGAAGATTGACAATTTTATTGAAAATTTCCTCTCTAGGTGCTTGAACTGAAGATTCTCAGAAAGGTTTTCAAGTACATCAACAAAATCATCTAACTGCTGGGAGCCTGCAATGTATACTGATTAAAAAGTAGCTTTTAAACAAGCCAACAGTGTCTTGCCCATTATCTGCATGCTCATCTCCATACTACATAGAGTGAGGAAGTGAATGACTCTTTTTTAAATCCCAAATGTACTTCCAGAAATACCTTGGTTCATATTTAAATTCATTATCTACATTTAACAAATATTGTGACACAACTCACGAATTTTTTTACATTCTGAATGTATTCTTGAAAATTTCTGTTAATCATAGTAAGATTTTGACTCTTTATAAGCTTTATGTACCTCTCTTTTTTGAATAATATTACGCCTCAGTCCAGGTGAAAACCACTTAGGAAAAGTACAAGTTTGGTATCACTTGACCAGTACAAACAAGGCAATTGCCACACCCAAAATCTCATAGAAGTATTGTAATGGATTAATGTTATGTAAGAGTGTTAAACCTTGGTCCCAATTTATACCTGCGAAGAAATTGTTCAACCCCCAATAATTGGCATTTCTGAAATCATAATAAAAGTCTCATCATCGTGTAATATACATGTGTATAGTTCCCGCCACAGAATATTGAGATTCCTACAAAAAATGATTTCTATGTCGGCGATGCCCGGATAAATAAAAACCACTGCAAAATCTCTACAGATAAGGGTTGAGAATAAATTTAGTCCAAGAGCATAAATTTTTTGTTTTTGTTGATCCGGGCATCGCCGACAAAGAAATCCTTTTTTGTAGGAATCTCAATTATCTGTGGTGGGGACTATAGCACTGTAGATCTATTGAAAATGTATCGAGCAAACTAGTGTATAGAAATTATTACAAGTTGCTATAAATATTTTATTCTATATCATTTGTTGTTTTCTTTGACAGTGACCGCGAAAATAGGCCCAGACGTGATAATGCTGATTTGGAAAACCGCCGTGAACGTGTTGAACGAGGTGACCGTGGAGAACGAGCTGACCGTGGAGAACGAGGTGATCGTGGAGATCGGGGTGACCGTGGTGAACGTGGTGAACGCAGGGAAGGCCGATCAATTGGAAACCGACCAGGCGGACTACGTGGACCCAGGAAAACTTTTGACGATAGGCGCGGAAAAAGGGAATTCGATAGACAATCTGGATCTGACAAAACGTAATATTTTTTTTTCATATTATTACTTACCGATTATTTTATAAGTATTTTTAAAATTTTAACAGCAGTCAATATTATTTACCTAGCTTAGAAAAATTGTATATGATTTGAAATCTATGAAATTTACGTTAGTTACGATACCTTATTAATGCAGCCATGGTTACAGAGGAGTTAAACCAATAGAAAAACGAGATGGTGCTGGCGCTCATAATTGGGGATCCACAAAAGACATGATTGAGTAAGTAAAACTTACAGTTATGTTAGAATATGATGTCAAAATATGCCAGGATATTCCATTTCTGTATTTTTGACACCATTCTTTGCTTAATATTTGTGAACAAAAATATTTTTTAGCGCTGAAGCTGATAGGCCCAGTGACGCTGATCAAAGCTGGGGAGATTCTGAGAAAGTAGAAGTTGTAAGCGACATTGAGAAAAAGTATGTATTATATTTTTTTTTTTTTTTTTGGTGTTTAATTTTATTTGCTGTTAGGGATGAACCTGAAACCGAACAAACCTCCCCAATTGAAGAGGAACCTAAGGAACTGACTCTGGACGAATGGAAGGCACAGCGCGCTGGCCGTGCCAAGCCTACATACAATATTCGTAAGGCTGGCGAAGGTGAAGATCCGTCTCAATGGAAAAAGATGTTCGAGCTAAAAAAAAAAGAAAAAGAAGAGGTAAACAAACAATTTTGTTATTTCTAGTCATCAAAGAACATAATAAACGCAAGTTAAAAATTGTTGTAGGAATCTGAGGAGGAAGAATATGACGTTTCCGAATACCCACAAAGAGTTGGCCGCCAAAAACACGTTTTAGATATTGACATTCAATTTAATGACAGCCGGCGTTCTGGTGGTGGTCGAGGACGGGGTGGTGGTAGAGGAGCAAGGGGTGGCGGTCGTGGTGGCGCTCCACGTGGTCCTCCTCGTGAAAGAGATGGGCGTGAAGGTGGAGGAGATCGTGGTGGCGAACGTGGAGGAGAACGTGGCGGAGAGCGTGGCGGGGAACGTGGCGGAGATCGCGGTGGAGAACGCGCTGAACGTCCTGAACGTGAACGTCCAGAACGTGGAGAACGCGAAAGGAGATTCCGTGATGAACTGGTAAGAATTTCAAATGTTCCTTTTTTTGCATTATTTTTTTGTAACATTGTAAATAATTGTCTGTTTGGGCAGGACAGTGGTCTAAATTAAACTTGTTCTGTCAAACACTACAATAAACAATATAAAATTGGATTATGTCGAACTTTGATCATACCTACATAATAAGAAGTCTAGCCGTTTCATTTGGACTTTCAAAAAATGTGTATTGGTTATATGGAATGCATTTTTATGGAAGCTCTTGAGGCGGCATCACAGTTCGCTATTTTTCTCCCTGCAAACTTATTGATGCTATAAATTCGTATTATTGTTGATTTTTTGCTGCAAGCAACAGCAGGTCTTTTGAGAACCCTATCATTTGACCTTCCTGAGCCTTGCTATATCAATGTTTGAGCTGTTTGAGGTGATTTTGAATGTTGATTTCATAAGCACTATAGAAAGTTTCATACATTTTCACATGGTTCAAATTTAAAAAGATTGCATAATTAAAATAAACACCTTTCTTCGAAAAATCAATGAAATACGTTTGCGGACCATGCTTCTGCACATGCGCATGCCTCGCTAACTCTAAAATCAGTGTTCTCAGGCATTTTTCCATATCCATGTGTAGGAAGGGTTGAAAATAGAATGTATCAGAAGTTGCTATAAATGTTCTATTCTATATCCTTAATTTTATTTAAAAATCATGACTAACTATAAATAGTTGAAAGGTTAATAAACCCTAGGCAATCCAACGACCTTTCAAAAAATAGATTCAATATGTCAGCATAGGTCAAACATCTGTCATCTGTGATATTTGTGTTTGTTTACAAACTAACGTTTTCTTTTTTCGATTTTTTCTTGCTCTAAATTGCAGTTTTTGACTGGTGTGAAGTATTTATTTCTTAGAAAATGCCTGCGATATGTATTTTAGTTGGTTGTGGTAGCCGTTCGTATCGTGATAAAGGCAGGTTCCATGTCGTTCCTGCAGATACAAAACCCAGGTTTTTAAAGTATAAAACCGATTTGTCTCAGGGGTTATTGTGCTTTTTTTCATGGCACTGCCCAAATTTTTTAGTTCCAAGATTAGAAAGATTACCTGTAAGAGTTAGTCCAAGGTACAATCTATCACTTTTAAATCGATATAATGAATATAGGAAAAAGCTTTCGAAATTGATAAGAAATGCGAAACATTCGTACTATAAATCACAAGCAGAAAATAATGCACACGACCCCAAAAAACTTTGGAAAGTGATAAAAGTGGCCACTAATGATATCACCATGAATAACATAGACATAAAAAGTGTAATCAATGATGAAAACATAGAATTTAATAATAAAAAAGCAGTAGCCAACGAATTTAATAGATACTTTAACAATATAGGGGAGGCCTTGGCAAAAAGAATAACTGAGAATAGATTCTATGACAAACATGCCATGAGTGAGGGAGAGAGAACGGCAGGCTCTTTTTTTTTGACACCTGTTTCAGACAGCCTCAAACAGATAATGAGCCTCAATAAAAATGTGAAAGGAGGAGAAGATGATATTAGTTCAAAGTGCAAACATAATAAAAAGATTTCATATTCAAATAATGAAACCAATCAGCCATATTATTAATGTAATATTCGGTAATGGAGTTTTCCCTGAAGTACTAAAGAGTTCAATAATTGTACCGGTATATAAACAAGGAGACAAAAAATTAGCAAGTAATTATAGACCAATAACTTTAACAAGTACTATAAGCAAATTGGTAGAAAAATGTTTTAAAATGAAATTAATGGTATATTTAGAAAAATATAAATTGCTTGGTGAAAACCAGTTTGCTTTCAGGGAGGGCTCTAGCACGGAGAATGCCTTATGTCGTGTAACTGAAAAGATTCTGAAAAACCTAGATCAAGGAAAAAAAGTTATAGGCATTTTTCTTGACCTTCAAAAGGCATTTGACACTGTGGCTCACCAAATACTTTTAAATCGACTTGATATAATTGGAGTTAGAGGAGTTGCAAATAATTTAATTAAATCATATTTAGAAGGAAGAACACATTCTGTAAAACTGTTGAATGAAAGAAGTGATAAATTAATGGCCAAGTTTGGTGTGCCGCAGGGTACAGTGCTTTCCCCTTTGCTGTTTAATGTATATATTGACGGTATATTGTCTGTGGTGGATGAGGGAAATGTTTATTGTTTCGCTGATGACACAGGCATAATAATCAGCGATGATGACTGGGATTCTACAAAAATGAAGGCTGAAAGAGCTATGAAAAAAATTAAGACATGGTTAGACTTCAGTTTATTATCGCTCAATGTTGAAAAAACAAAGTTTGTTGCGTTTTCTCTTTCCTCTCGTTCATTGCCAGGCTTCCAGGATTTAATATTGCATCATCAAAATTGTAAAGTTGACATAAACTGTAAATGTGATAAATATATTGAAAGAAAAAAATGTGTAAAGTATTTAGGAATCTTTCTAGATGAGAATCTTACATGGAAAGAACATGTAAAATATGTAACAGGGAAAATAAGAAAATTAATATTTAAATTCTATGAATTGCGGAATGTCTTAACTTTCAAGCATATGAAAATGGTTTATACTGCTTTGGTGGAGTCAATTATAGATTATGGTATAGTGGTGTGGGGCTGTGCAGGTTCGACTGTTATGACTAAACTTCAAGTGGCTCAAAAATGGATTATTAAAATACTCCTTTTTAAAAAGAAAAGATATCCCACGGAGCTAGTATATCGAGACAGTAATTTATTAACACCATATCAAATTTACATTAGAGCAATTGTCCGATTTATGTTAAAAAATCCGTATTATAGAGAGAGCATTAATCATGGTGCTAATACAAGGAATGTGGCTCAGAACAATATCCTACTGCAGGGCCCCAAACACTGCACATGCCAGAATCATATCTATAGTGTAGGTCCTAAGGTATTTAATAGCTTACCATGTGAGTTTAGGGTAAAACCATACTACAAAGTTAAAAAAGAAATAACGAAATGGATTGTGGAATCTAACTTCAAAATTACATTTTTATCTTGATTAGTTCAACTAATCATATTGCATTAGTACACTCATCAAATTGTTATACATGGCAACACTTATGAAATATAATTATAAAATTATTATAGGGCGCACACACAGTAACTTAGTTACCATAGCGCGCCGCAATTATTTACTACTAATTCATTAAGTAACTTACTATATGACATGTATATTGATTGTAATCATTATTGTTATCGTTATCAGTATTATTTTTGAGATTGTTAGTGAATAAATAAAAATAAATAAATAAATAAATAAAAAAAATAAATAAATTTTTATAGTTCCTTCATTCATTTAAATTTGTGGATTGTATGGTGATTTACATGTATGCTTGGTAACCATAAATACTGTTTTCTGAACATTTAGAGACAATTTATTGTGACATATCCAATCAAAGTACAGTTCCAAATCATTATTGACAGTTTCTTCTGGTTGTTTTCCACTTTCCCCAGAGATAGAGAGAGAGAGAGAGAGAGAGAGAGAGAGAGAGAGAGAGAGAGAGAGAGAGATAATGGCACTGGGTCATCTGCAAGTTTGAAATATTTTGCTCTTAATTTGGTGTATTTCAAACTGTGCACATACAAAAAGTACAGTAGCGGTCCGAGTACAGAGCCCTGAGGGACACCCGTATTTAGTTCTTGTTCGTCACTATTTTCAGCATTTATTACAGTGTAATGCTTTCTACCACTTGAGAATGACTTCAGTAAGTTGTAACATGTACCACGAAAGGCCATTTTGTATTGTTCACTCATGAAGAGCTCGATATTCACTGTATCAAAAGCTTTCTGTAGGTCCACAAATACGGAATACGGCTATCACATATGTATTTGTTTTTGTCTTGTTATATGTTCTAATAGATCCACCGTTGCCCCTTGAGTACTGCTTTTTTTTTGAAATCTATATTGTTGATGGTCAAACTCAAATGTTGTTTCCATGAATGCTATCAATCTTGCTTTGATAATTTTATCTATAACTTTTGAAAAAGTGCTTCTCAGTGAAATTGGCCTGTAATTGTTCATGTCCTCATGTGCTCCTTTTTTGTAAATTGGAATAGTTTTAGCTGCTTTCAGCTCTTCCGGGTAATTTCCAGTTTACAATATGTTGTTTGTAAGCTTGACCAAAGAGAGTCCAATGATATTGATTAGCATTAATAGGTCTTTTTTTTTGTAATTTTTTCTATACCTGGGGCACAGTTATTTTCCAATTCATTTATCTTAAGAGTTATCTCCTTTATGTTTGTTGGCTCCAAATTTAGGCTTTGTACATTCTCTTCTATATATAGACTGTATTTGTTGATTTTGTTTTATTTTACTTGCCAGTGTTTCTCCGACTTTTGCAAAATTACTGTTAAACTCTGTCGCCATATCTTTATTTTTTTCTACTGTTCTCCCAATTGCGTTTTTTATTTTATGGTCTTGCAGTCTTATCTTACAGGTTAAGCATTTATTTGTTATTACATGGTCAATGATGAATGATGTGTTTGTTGTTGTTCCAGTTACATTCTGTGGCATTATTATGTTTTGCACTCCAAAAGCATTAATTTCAAATGGATTTTTGTAGTTATCGATAGTTTGAGAGTGTTTCAATATGTCTCTGTTGTTCAAGTAGCCTTTAAAATTCTGTTAGGAAAATTTCGATGTGGCTTTGTGATAGTCTGTATATCCCAAAGAGAGAAAGCTTGCATTTTAGTGAGTAAAAAGATGGCAATGTTAGAGTCTTGTATTTGTACGTCTTCTATTTGTACAGTGCACCTGTCATTCTTTACAAACTGCAGCTCTTCTCTTGTATAAACACTACAGCCGCCGCCCGAGTTTCAATATTTCTCTGTTGTTCAAGTAGTCTCTCAAATTCTGTTTGGGAAATTTCGATGTGGCTTTTTGATGGTCTGTATATCCCAAAGACAGAAAGCTTTTATTTTAGTAAGTAAAAAGATGCAATATTACAGTCTTCCATTTGTATATTGCACCTGTCATTCGGTACAAAATGTAGCTCTTCTCTTGTTAAAACACTACAGCTGTCGCCCAAGTGCTCCTACAATTGTGCACAGCTACATATTTTTGTAAGTTAAAGCAGTTTACCTCATTTGGACAGATCCATGTTTCTGTAAGCACTATGAGAAGGATAACTGCAGTGTTTTGAAGTATCAAATCATTCACCTCATCCACCTTTTTTCAAATTCTTCTAATCTATATATATAAACGTGAAATTCACTCACTCACTGACTGACTGATTAAACACGAAATCTCCAAAACTACTAAACCAATCGAGATGAAATTTTGCAAACAGGTAGATAATAGGTTGGAGATGCTCACTAAGAAATAATATCAACATGGGCTTAAGCAATCGCCCTAAATAACCAAAAATAAGAAATGGTGTGGTGCGGGAATACGGGGAAAAAAGTGTAAACAGAAACAGACGACGCGTCAGCTGTCAAATTTAGAAATATGACAAGCAGAATCAAATTCATAGCGATTTCCATTTGCAGAATCAGTGCAAAAAAAAAAATGTGTTTTTGTTGTTATATTTTCATGCTTTCACCAGAAACGATTCGGAACCGATTCTGAACAAATTCCACCGGTCCTAGGCTAAGCTAACTTCAAGTTTGAGACATGACATTCGCAATTCGTTCACGTATTCGACAGTCTGGAGCAAGGTTCTGGAGTTTTTGTTTGGTTCCAAAACTGTTCGCGATAAAATAGGAACCTGAACCCATTCACAAGTTGGGTTCGGGTTGCTCACTCCGAGTTACTCCGATCGCACTCCAGCCGTTATCTGATAAGCTAAAAGGTAATACCCGAACGGCTGAAGTGCAAACGGAATCACTCGGAGTGCACGGAGTGAGCAAGCCGAACCCAGCTATAACTGGGCATGCGCTCTATGATAGTCCTCAATTAGTTCCGGACTGGTTCGGAATCGGTTCAAAATATGATCCGCGAAGAAAGCTATTAGAAGCGAGTGGCACTTCAAAAAAATTTAACGTCAGCTGTCAAAAAATAGTTTTCATATTCTGCAGCCTAAAAGCAGAACAAAAAATGTGGTTTACAGAGAGGTGCTGCAAAAATAAGAGTTAAAGTCCATTCCAAAATATTTCGTTGACTTCACGGCTATAAAACCCTACCATAAATTAGATAGCTATTATTAGCCTCTATTGTGTAGGTACCAGGTTCTTTTATGTAGGTACCGGGTTCCTTAATACCCACTCAAAGGTTTACAGGTGCTTACAGGGGTGGTTCTACCTCTTACCAGAAGTAGCAATTGAAAACATTCATACTGCGTATGTTTATAATTGTAATAGTTGGGTTCGTGAATATACTAAATATCATGACCGAACTTTATATCCTTTAAAGGTAATTTGGAGTATATGTGATGAAGTTAATGACCTGGAATGTTGATGATAGGCTAAGAAACTTAAGTCATATCGACCCTTTTAAAAAGTGACTTCTGCATTTTGGCCTGATTATTAGTGCTAAAATAGATAGTACGGATTTTCTCATCAATAGCTAAAGCTCTTATATTTTTATACGTCTTGCACTCACTTGATTTTTGACGTTTTTTTGCCACATTATAAGTACAAATTTGTAAATGATTTTCATATTTCTGATTTATGGTTATTTGAGTCACCCTTACCGAAAAACATGTTCCCGAAAGGCAGATAGTTTTCAAATAGAGCGTGCACCGAATTTAGTGGAAAACTTATCTGAAATCTTGTTTCCAAAATTCCGGTACTATTTCGAATGGTACGTGTAATACAGTTACGAAACATGCAAGTTACTGATCCAAAGCTTATCTTGCTGAGTTCACCTACATATCGAAGCATAAGTACCGTTACTATATATGCTTCCCAAACCAGTGCATATATGGAATAAGCAGGTAATACATGACCATATGTCTGATGCAACTATCCCCTTAGCTCTTTGAAAGAAGATTACCTAATGCTACCTACACCCTATACCTACAAAATTTGTATAGGGAGTGCGAAGCCGCGGGCAACAGCTAGTGTTTATATATAAGATATTCAGGTGTTGGTCCTCTTTGGTAGGCATTTTCAGTCTTTTTTAGCACAGTTTTAGGGTTTACTTCCACACATCTTAAATTACATTTAGATCAGTTTCACTTCTTAACCTGATAAAAGTATCATTTTTTTTAAAACTACACATTTTTCCATTAGCCATATAGGCTGCATCAAGTTTATTGTGGGGCTTTTTTGAACAAATATTGGTTCTGCTTTATTAGGTCGACGTTAAAATAAATATTTTTATTTTCTTCTGTTAAACCACATTTTTTTACTTTAAGGCCTTTGAGCTCCTTCACCTTTTTGATGACTTTCTGTTTTGGACTCAAATTTTTGAGTTTAATTAGTATAGGGGAGTAATAAATATTTATAATATTCTTCAAGACATTCATTCTAACATTTTATCACGTTCATTATCCTCCATGGCTATTAATGTTTATATTTTTTCGGGTTATTCTAGCAATTTATATAATTAAGAGATTCAATCAGGATTCTAACATAGTTCTTATTTACAGGCTGACGAGAAAACTAACCCGAGGGCTCCTAAGGTAGACGATGAACGCGATTTCCCTTCACTGGGTTAGACAACACGCGGAGAAGTTGGCTTGTTGATGGATCTCCATACATCAAACACCATTGAAAACATAAGTGTATATTGAAAAAATCTTCGTTATAAAGTGTCGGTATGGAGTTAAGGGTTTACCAACGATTTTCTTCAATTATTTCAACAGATTTGTCTATCAATTTCTTGCGTATCTTCGAATAAAGTTAAGCATATTTCTTGCTTAAATCTTTAGTAAAACTTGTTAGAATATTTAAATTTAAATAGAACGTCCAGTGAAATAATTGGAAAAAATATCAACAAATTTTGTATCCAAGTTATGAGTTTTTTTTTCTGAATGTTATTATTTTTTTTTTTTTTTTTCATATTTTGCACGTTTTTCAATTATATTATCAGTGCAGACTGTGTGCAAAAAAATATCAACAAATTGTGAATCCCAATCCTGAAATTTTACGATGTCGGGACGGAAAGTTAGTTTTTAGCTTTTTTTTTAAAGTGTTAATTTTTTTATAAATTTCCAGTGTATACTGTGTCTTCTAGTACATGATGGTTACTAGTCAGTTTTACGCTGCATTGTTGACAGTTTGATCCGGTCGAGTAATTAATTATTGAATGTGGCATATTTAATAGAAGATAATATTTATAGTTTAAATAATGTAATAGGCCTATTTTAAACCTGCTGAAAATCGTTCACGAATGGTAATATGTTTGCTCATTATTGCACTGAGGGAATGACTATCGACCAGTTTTTAGCAGGAATAGAACAGACCAAATAACCAAAAAACAATCCCATCATAGTAAGATTTTTAAAACTGGAAAATAATTTGCATCTAAGTTAAATTTATGGCATACATGTGAATTTATTAGCGGCATATCAGACAATAATTGAAAACGAACTTATAATTTTCTTGTTTCAACTGGGATTTGAATGTAGAATCTGATAGCTCTATACTTGGTTCTTAGTTATCGCTGACAATGTCAATATTCACATAGATCCTTAGACTATATTGTCGACTGGTATAATAATATCACCTTGTATATCAAAAACCTAATTGACATAATACGGTTGATCATCAGTCAGCAATTTAGGTAGGTTACTCAAACAAAATGTCTATACTAAATGGATATAATAGTCCAAACCAACCATTACATCAGTACCTGTTTGGGTTAGGTAGCGCTGTTACTAACATTACAGGAATTCACCTCCTGCAGGTCATTACAACCCCTGCAGTTACCACCAGCACTAGATAAAGATGCCACATGATTTATATGGAGAGAGTGGATACAATCAATACAGGCTGGGCTTTACTAGTAGCTTCTGGATCGGTAATGACCTACAGGAGTGAAACCGCTAAGGTTCCTGGGATTTGGAATAACCAATGAACTATAGCTAAAAACTGGAATGTGCACACATTGCCATATCTGCCAAAAAAATGAAGCCATGAAAGACAGATGCCACAAGGGGGAATGTTGTTTTTTTCTGTTGCTTGCTGACATATGACGTTTTCGAAAGTTTTGTCATATTTCCCTTCACAGGTTTCATCAATTGGAATACGTGTTGGAAGCAATTTTCGCCATTTAACATAATGAGTGCGACAAAAACAGGTATCCCCTCCGCAGCAGCCGCACTAGGCTTCACGTTCATCCTTATGTGTTAGCATTCTAGTTTTTGGTTATAGTTCATTGGGAATAACTGAAGATTTGTGTATATATTTAATGGAGATTGGAGTTCTTAGGTGATCAGACTTTAATTAAATTAGGTCTGTTCCAACCTGTCAAAACAAAGCCTAAACATCATAGTCCCCGTCACATAATCCCTATTGTTTACATTTATGAAAAAGATGACAAAAAAATTGATGAATGCAGTCAAAAAAAGCAGGCCAGGATCAAATACGTTTGGTTTTTGCATTTCTAAACATAATCTTTTATTTTTACAGAATTTTGATGTAAATTGATTTTATTCAAATAAAAATACATTTTTTTAAATTTTACTAGCACAGCTGAAACGTTAGGCCCTAACTCCGATATTAAAGAATCGGCAGTGAGGATAGAATTTTAGTACAGTTTATTTGAAATCAAATATCTATGTATATTCTGGGAAATTGGTTTGTTCTAGTTTTTCGTGGAACTTTGAAAGGTTTGAAAATTGATGCAAGCTAATTTAAATATGCCGTTTAAAACATTTTTAAACAATAATTATTTTGAATAAATAACCTTTGCTCCTGAACTAAATACTGGCAGTATCTTGAGCAGTCGCAAAAAAATTAGAAAAAATATTAGTTTTTATTTGAATATGAATTATAAACGGAGGCTACTAATATAGATTTGGATTAGTTAGCGGCATATCAGACAATATACTTGAAATGTATATATTAAATGACAGCTGATTTGGACAGTTTACTAAATTGTTTCTACATAGTTCATGCTCATATTTTGGTAGGGGCAGACTTCCAAAGACTTTTTGGATTATGCTGTTCAATAATTTATTAAAATCTCTGATTTCTTTTTTGAATTCTGGACGGACTGAGGGAAATACTCATAAATCAAAAGTAAATGTTGGTTTTCACTTGATTTTTGGTGAGAATCAAACCCTGGCATGGTTTCCAAGTTTCTGGTGGCTTTCATTGTTAAGTGAAAATCAAAGTTTTATAGTAACATCAATGCGCACAAAACCACTTATAAATAGGGTCAGACTCAGAAAATTATTTTATTATCGGAATGAAATAACACGAAAGCGTGTCAGATCGATTCCGATTTGGGGGACTTGGAGGCAAGAGCTTTGAATAGATTAATCTGAATTTCTTTTCCTGCCCTTTAAGCCTTGTTCCAAGTATATTTTTAAAAGTTTCGGTGATGCAGCATCTCTGTTTAAGTTCTCTAGTTGCTGTAAAGTCCTTGCTTATTATGCTACCCTTTTCAATATTGGTTTTTGCGTCACTATAGAGCGTTTTAACTGCCTCTATTAGGGCAATGATTGGGTTTTGAGAAGAAACGAATTACATGGATTGGATTTATGCTCTAAGTTTATTTTAGGAGCTTCCTCTGGTCCACAGGCATTCTACTTTTACCACTTATCGCGAAATGAACTAATTTTCAACAAAATTTCGACTGGAGGTCAATTTTTTGTGTTAAACACATTTTGTTTGAAAATTGTCTGCCAGTTGTCTGACATGCTTTCAATTAATTCACACTTATAATTATTTTTATATGTATTTCTTTTATTTACTGCTCTTGAGAAATTTACGCACTACATTGTACGGACGATAAATAAAATGTTCTGTATTATATTTCCTTATACGTATTTACTTTATGTTTTCTTTTTTTTTGATAAGCAAAAAAACTTCTTTCTGATGAATAAGCCATCAAAAGTTTTGACACATCATCACGGCGTTCCAGAAGCTTTAACGTAGTTAAGCCTTATCACAACGGGTTGCAAATTCATCAAAAAGGGATTTTTGGTTATCTGTCTGTAACCCTCAAACCACCTTTCAGGAATGGATTCTATTGGGGACAATCACTGCTGCTGTTTCCTTGAGATTTTCTTATTTTTTTTTTTATCTTAGAGTTTGTTTTTGTAGAAATTACAAACCAGGCCAGTGTCGTGAGTTTTACATAGGTGAATACAAATTATATGAATTCTTTACAGTTTTACTATTATGCTCAAAAACAAAATTAATAAAATATTCCTAATTTTAATTTATTGCTTTGTGTGCACACTGTCGTTGCAATGAGCTTCATGGAATCATCTGAAATTGCAATTTGGCATTTTATTCATGCTGGGTACCTATTATGTTTTTGTTAGGGTAATCTGATGACTGGTGGCAGGTTGTGCTAATCGGTTTGTGTATAGTATTGGCTTGCAATTATTTTTAATCAATCAACTGGCCTGTGTTTTTTCACAGAAATAAAACTATAATTCTTCCACATTCTTGAAAATTGAGTAATAATTAAGTCGGTAGACTGGACATTTTCAAACTGTGGCATAATTATCGCATGTACATTTAAGGCTATAATGTCTCGCATTTCACAATATTACTTGTTGATCGTTCTCATCAAACAATTTGTATAATTTTTAATAAAAATTGTAAAATTGATCATTTATTTGGTTTTAATTTTTTTCTAGTAAAATTTATAAAATGTCCCTTTTGTTATTGCACGATATTTAGTTACACCAAGTCGCACAAAAAATCACTGGCAGCTAAATATACCTACAGCCCTACAGTACAGTATCTTGCTTTTACACCAAATGAGACAAGCATGTTATGATATACTTGTATTATGACTACGTTTATTTCACGCGTTGTATCCAAGGATGGGGATTAATAATCCTGAAATAAACCCCCAGGATTAGAGAGTTCATCTGGATCGGAGTACTTAATCCAATCCTCCAAATTTGTAGGATTGGACTCAAAATAGATTATCTCAAATGTGAAATAAACACCTAATCTCGGATTTGAGAAGTTTGTTGCTAACTTCAAGTGAAATTTACATTTGTAATTTGTAATTTTTCTGAGGGTTGATGTTATTTATAGTTTTATAAACGAATTTGGATTAATAATCCTTAATTCACGTATCCAGATACAACGCGTGAAATAAACGTATTCAGTGTTAGTAAAGAATATGCTTGGAATGATATGTCCAGGGGTGCGTTCAAGGACGGCAATGCTAATGCCAAAACCTACTTTTCCCCCTCCACCGGTAATGCCGAACCACGAGGTTGGAGCCTGAACTCGAACGCAAAATGCCAATTTTGGCTTGGCTATAGCCATTCCTGAACGCAGCCCGGATATTCCACCGACAACTCTTGACAGGTGACAGACCTCGCATTTCTATAAAATGCAATTCCAATTTCAGCCTTATCGGATAATGATCGACCACAGAATTGCTCTGCAATTAAACTTTGAACATTTTTTGTCACGCACCACACCACAAACTAAAATAAAATATTTTAAAACAAACCTAATCTGCGATGCGCGCAAAAAAGTGAAGAAAGTTTGCAGTTCGCCTGCAACCTGCTGGAGCTTATGGGACGGAATTGAAATCCACGCGTAGATAGGCACCACATATGCGCCATCATATAAGCCAATCATTCGAGCTGCAATCCGGCGCGGCGGCGAGTCAGTTATTGCCATTTTGGCAAAGGTGGTCAAATTATTTTAATAAATTAACTGCGGGACAGCTCCTCGCGTATTATTTAGGTACCAAATTTTGGTATAATTTATTTTTAAAATATAATTAGGTTAGTACTCAAATATTAGTTCTTTTTTGTTTTATTGTTTTTAACTTTTGTTTTGGGGGTTGCGCAAACCTGCAAACCTTAGGAAGAGCCGCCACTGGAATCAAACGTCAAATTGTCGAAGCAATGTCAAAAGGTTCGTTCCAACCCCCCGTTTTCGTATCGTCATGAAACGGTTTCGGAACTGTTAGGATCGATTGCAGGCGCATGCGTTGACCTTGCACGGTTTTATCTTGGTACAGAAACAACGGGTAGTTGGAACGGTTTCATGATCGTTTTCGTAATGACGACAGTTCAAATAACTTTAACCCTAAATTTGTTTGTTTGCAAATTAAAATAGAAGAATATAGGATTAGGATCACAAAATAATATATAAAAAAGGAAAATCGAACACCAACGCTGATTCATTATCAAGAATCTAAAACTGAATCCTTGCAAGCTGATAACATCAAGGATTAGCAAATAGCTGATAATAAATTTTGTACTTTTTTTCACTTGAAAAAATAAAAATGCTACAGTTTTATAAGTTAGATTGGAAATTGGTTGTTTAACAACAACATGAACAACAAAAACAGGTGACAAAAATTGAATTACGCATGTCAGTCATGAATCAGTCCACGCGGTTCTTGCTTTCCACTCGGGATCGAAATGACGGTGCTAAAACCAGTTCTCGAACGATCCCAGGTTTGGTTGGAACGCCAACGAAACTGTACGGTAAACGATCATCTCTCGGTTGGAACGCGTTTAACCTATGGCGCATGACCGTGACCGTACATTGTACGGTTTTTGGCTGGGTTGGAACGAACCTAAAAAAGAGCGAATTTCCCGGTTCTGAGTACTAGGCTTTATGCCTGTATGCACTATTGCACACTCAGACTTTAGCCGTTTTTTCGTCTAATCGGCAATTGACTTTAATCGCCCGATGGCCGGCTGGAATTTAGGACAAAATAACCGCGGCTAGCAGGGTTGCCAGTTTTTATTGATCGCTAGTCGCCGTTATGATCATCACATGTCGCTTAAATGTCGCCAACGAAAAAATAAAATAAATTCTATATTCAGGCATTTTCAAAACCCATATATAGGGACCCCAAAAAAAAAATAATTGGAAATGAATAATGATGGAAAGTTTAAAACACAGAACAAAACAATCCGATCGCGCCGCGCGCACTGAGTCGAGTTTATGTGCGATTTCTTTTCTTTTTCTCATCGGTAGACCCATCGACAATTGTCGAGTGCCAATCTGCCTATGAATTATGATCACTGATAAGTTTATGTTATTTTTTACAAATAACTAATTTTTCATCGCCCATTTTGTCGCAAAATTGAAATTTTTGTCGCAAAATGAATGTTGAAATCGCCCAATTGGCGATAAATCGCCCATACTAGCAACCCTGGGCGGCTAGTTAATAAAGTGAGGTTAGATGTTTGAGATACGAGGTCGGTTAAATGAAGGCAGTTGCGCAATTTCTTGCAAAGACTTCCAGAGATATAAGGAAAAAATCATATCATCATACAACAAATAATGATCATTCCCAAGAATCGTAAAATTCTATATGGGATTATTTCCATCGGTTATAAAAAAACATCGTACTTCCAATAGACACACACACACACAGGTTCTAAATTTCAAAAGCATCCGTATCGATCTGCGCATGCGCAGAATGGATACGGTGGTTTCGTTGTCCGAGGCAGTGGTTGTCCCCATCTTTACGGGCTTAAGCTTGTTCTACAATAGTTGTAATCCTTTCAAGAGTTTGAAACACTAGAGCTTTTTGCTTCGGTGAGTCGAACCCGATTTAAAAGAACCAGATGCGCGGGCTTATGTGCATTAAATGGTTTAAGTTCGGGCTTGAGCACTTCAGGTGCAACAAACACTTTTCGAAAGGAAAAAGCGCGTTACGCCCTGAAGCTGTTCCGGAGCTCCTCGTAGGTGTGAAAGGAATACAACTAATGCCCGTAACGTAATCGGTACTGCAATTGCAACGGAACAGAAAGTAATTTTTCGTGAGGATAATCAAGCATAATCTTTTGCTGGATTATGTGATGTGTTATTTGTGTCATACTCTCCTAACTCCCCCACCATCAAATTCTGGGATACCCGAGGATCAAGAACACTTATATGGCCGTTTCCACCAACCATTTTAGGGGAGCCCTAACGATAAGTATTCCTTAGGGCGGGTATTATAAAACTATTTTGAGAGATAGTAAAAAGTTAACTTCTAGAATTACTATGGAGAGTCACGTCATTCCAGAAGTTACCTTCTAAGTTAACTGTCAAAATAGTTTTATAATACCCGCCCTTAAACTGACATTTCTCCATGTAAAAATGTCATTTTAGGGAATACTTATCATTAAGGCTCCCCTAAAATAGTTGGTGGAAACGGTACTTAAAGCGTGACAACTGAAAGAACCTTGGCAACGTATGAAGTAGCAGAGGGGAAAACGAAAACCTATACTATACGACGCGACGGGTCCCCGACGTGGTGCATTGCGAAAATTGCGGTTACCCTGACGGGACGACCTGCGTTTATGTATATTTATTCTCGCGCCAATCAGGAGACTTTTGCCCGCATTTCTTCCACACAGGTTCATTCAGTTGTCGCACTTTAATTTCTTCTGTGAGAACACACCGAAAATCACCTTTTCTACATTTAAAATCGACGAAAAAATTAACTCAGTAGCACAGCCTGAATCGTAAGCATTCCATCGAAGTCTGCGGGTGACTTCATCACTATAAGCTGCTGATAGTGACGTCACTCGCAGGCCCAGAATTTGATGGGGAAGGAGTTAGGGGAGTATGACACATCACATAACCCAGTATAATCAGATTATGCTTTATTATCCTCGCGAAAAATTACGTTGCCGGTTTTACAATCACCGCAGCCCGCAAAGCTTTGACATGATACCATAACCTTCCTTTTACTTTTGTTTTTGATTGAAAAAAAAAAAGAACAGAATGAAAAACGAAGAAATTTTTGTGCTCTACAACCTGGTTTCTCTGTATGTATGCTATAATACATCTGTGGTAATCACCAAAAAAAATCGACAAATAATTTTTTTAGGTTATACGCCAGACCATCCGGATACCGTAATTCGCAAACGCAACGAAAAAGATGAGGATTGCAATCTTTCGCGTAACGATACGTTGACATCTTTGACAAGCAACAAAGGGTACTGCGCATGAGCGAAACATTCGATCTCCATTTACGGTTACGTTACGAGGATTGTAGAACGGGTTTAACCTCGCATCCCGTATCCGTATCCGAAAATGGATCTCGACATCAAGAAAATATACACTACTATTACAGGATAGCCTATCCTCCTAAGGCCTGTGTGGAACAAATCTGTAGCCCCCATCACGCCAAATAACCAGCTGTGACGTAGGCAGCATGTCGTTTTTCGCCTTGACGTAGGCTGTTTGCACTACGTTATGATTCCGCGGGCTTTTACTTTATACATACTTGGTTTTACTACATCAATTAACATTCTAGAACAACTCTTTTCTAGATCTCGTTTTCATCTTCCTTTTTATCTATTATGTTATTCAAAATTAAATAATAATTTTCTTCATAAATTTAAATTCTAAACTACGACCGCTAGGGCAAACAGCTACGATTTAGTTATGACGTCGGAAATGGTGACACACCAATATGGCGGCGACTACCAAAAACGAGGCGATAAGCAATCCTTGTAGTGTGTATTATCCTTGGTTCGTCCCCACCAAGCAAGATCGTTTTTTGCTTACCAATTGTGGTTCCTCGGTTCCTCTCGTGTGAACAAGTGACTAGTGTCTGACAGCTGTCTCTTCTGCGGTCGAATGGAAGGAGAAAAATGAGAAACGTCAATTGCCAAAACAGATTCAGTGCCAGTGCTCTGCACAGTGCAGCAGCACCTTTCCATCCTAGATCTAGAATTGTCAGATTTTGGATCCAATAATAATATAAAATGTGAAATAATGAAATAAATATCGTTTACAGGAAAAATGGCAACGCAAAAGCCAAGTTTATGGGCTGATCACTTAATAAATCGTTTCGGGGATCAAGTAAGTTGATTTGTCTTAAGGCTACCCCTAAAATTCCACCAGATGATAATGATAATGATACTATACTGTATACTGCCCACCAACTAATCAATATTTACTGGTTCCTACTATTCAATTTTCAAGGGTCCAGCTATATATTTTACAATGTTTATTATTTTTCAGTTGCCTTGCCGGATTGGTCCTCAAACAACTCATACCAACATAAATCAGGAACAAAACAAAAATTGCATTATCCAAATATCCAAGCACAAATTCTCTTTAGTTTTAGATGGTTTTGTTAAAGTTCTAAAAAAAGTTAATGAAACAGTAAGTTCCTATTTGTTTAATATGTACTTATTTGTTTTTATTTTTATTTCCGCCTCTGTTCAGTAATGCATCATTTGCCTGCTTTGAGCAGTTCATTTAGACACACATTTTGCCATTAAAGATTCGTCAAACATCGCTAATGTCTGGCTTATAGCTCAGAAATGGAGAATTAATGTAATGTAATATGATCCATTAGGTATTACCAATTTATTTCAAATTTCTATTAAAAATAATAAATTTTTCTGGTGGGGTGATATCCAATACAGTAGTAAAACCCCAGTTACCTGAGGCAACATGGGGGGTACCCTCCTTGGATAACTGAAAACTTGGATAATCCAGATTTACCTAAATTTACATACAGGGTCATTTTTTATATTTTCCCACCCCCTTAACTTTTCTGTGCCACTGTGTAGGAAAATAAAGTAGATGGGAAAGGTGTAGTGCTTGGAAGATAGTTCTCAGAAAACATAGTTTTCTTCATACAGGGTCTTGTAGAACGTTTAAGAAACAATTTTTTTTTTGTTTTTAATGGGACACCCTGTATCAAGCCCTGTATATTCTGGTTTACAATAGTTTTTTTTTTTGCTGATTCCGAATATACTATACCTATATGTTTTTATGCTATTTAAGTTTAAAGTTGCATTTACAGTGCTCTAAATGAGGTCTGTTCCGGGTTCTTTACATCAATGGTGGGGGCTGCTTAATGCAATTTAAATTTAAATAACGCGAAAAAGGCTGAACCGTTTATTCGGAATCAGCATTAAAAAAAAAGTATTAGGTATTGTAAACCAAAATATATAGGGTCTCCCATTAAAAAAAAACTTTTTGGTTTTTTAAATTTTCTGCAACACCCTGTATGAACAAACTATGTATTCTGATAACTATTTTCCAAGCACTACACCTTTCCTATTCACATTTTTTTTATACACAGTGACAGAAAAGTTAGGGGGGGTGGGAAAATATAAAAAAATGACCCTGTACATGGTGGCCCATTTTCAATGTTTTAATGGGCTATATTAGAAACCAGCAGGTATATCTAAAATCTGAACGCACATTCTCGAGCTCTTTTTTGGAGAAAATAACAATGGCGAAGATAAATCATGGCTTACTTGATGCTTTTAGGAAATACAGGGCAATTTTCAAATTTTGTCCAACTTGAAATGGCCTTCGAAGTTCTTTAGTAAATAATATATCCAAAAACGAAAAATACTTTCTAAAGCCACTTTTTCAAGTAGAATCCAGTGGCATGACCAATTTTTCTCCAGATGCCACCAATTTTGGAATATTAACCAAAGTCGTGTTTTTTTAAATGGAGCATCCCGTAAATTATTTTTCCATTGAATAGCTCTTTTTGAGTGGATTTCAATGGTATAGAATTTTTTATCTTGAATAGTTTTTGAGAAAAAAAATAAATTCTGTTTCTCCATTAAAAACAATGAGTTAGAAAGAGATAGTTGAGATAAGAGATAATTTCCTAATTCTTAATTTAATTTTCCAGTTTAGTTACAAGCAACACATAATTTATTTATGAACCTATCTCTTTCTAGCTCATTGTTTCTTATGAAGAAACGGAATTTATTTTTTCTCTCAAAAACTGTTCAAGGTGTAGGTATAAAACTCTATACCATTGAAATCAGCTCAAAAAGAGCTATTCAATGAAAAAATAACATACGGGGTGTTCAATTTAAAAAAACAAAACTTTGGTTGATATTACAAAATCAGTAGCATCTGAAAAAAATTGGTCACGCCACTGGATTCTACGTGAAAAATTGCCTATAAAAAGAATTTTTCATTTTTGGATATCTTAATTAATAAAGAAATTAGAAGATCTTTTGAAATTGGACAAAATTTGAAAATTGCCCTGTTTTTCCTAAACGCATCAAGTTAGCCGTGATTTGTCTTGGCCATCGGTTTTTGCAAACGTTGTCTACTTTGTCATCGCCGTTTTCGTTTTTCAGAAATAAGGTGTTTTTAAAAATGTTGCATTTTGGGATACCCCTTGTATCTCCGCTCTCACATAAGTAACCGAAAAGGTGACGACGGGTTCTTATAGATCTTTCCACATAGATTCCAGTAGTTTTTAAATTATAAACCAAACATACATTTTCCCAAATTGAGACACCCTGTATATTAATAACTCGTTGGATAGCTCTTCGTTTGCTAATTTCAATGATATAAGGTACGATAGGTTTATCTCTAAAGCTTCGTACAGATTTAAACATTACTCCGAACAACGAACATAACAACAAACCGAACGACAATCGAAACACTAATTTGGACGAGGCTACAAACGGCCAGGATTTGCGAACCGGTTTGCAAACGGTTTGCAAACGCGTTCGTTTTCTAACACATTGGCTCTCATGACAAATACAGATATAATTTTTTTTCTCAGAAACTGTTAGAGATAAACCTATCGAACCTTATATGATTGAAATCAGCAAACGCAAAGCTATCCAATGAGTGATTAATATACAGGGTGTCTCATTTGAAAAAATGTATGTTTGGTTTATATTTTAAAAGCTATCAGGTTTAGAGAAAAACCGACTATGCCACTGGAATCTACTTGGAAATATCTATGAGAACCCGTTGTCACCATTTCAGTCACTCATCTGAGACCCGAGATACAAGGGGTGTCCCAAAATGCAGAATTTTCAAAAACACTTTGTATCTAAAAACAAAAAGGGCGACGCGTGTCCTTCTAACTCCAATAGCAACCGAGTTACCCCTTATGTACAGGGTCTGTTCCTTATAATTAGTGCGGTTTCTACAACCTGAACAAAAAAATAAAATTATAAAAAAAGTTAAATTCAAAAGTTGTAGGATTTTATCTCTGTTATCAAAATGGGCTATTTAAGTTTGAAATTGCATTAAATTGGTAAAAACAAAGTCTTGAAAGTTAATTAAACCACTAAAAAACTTGTTATACAGTATATCAATATGTATATTAGCGTATAATATTTATTTATTTTATTTATTTATTTTACACTACAGAGGTATAAAATGGGTATATAAATATTCAATGTAAAGAACATCTTTTTTTTTCAAAAAACAAGCACCTGAGTGATTTAACACTTGTGTTGTGCTGAGATTGTAAACCAGATTAGTCAGATTACAAATTTGTTATATGTAAAAATGGTTAAATTACAGTTACAATTACAATGCAATAAAGTGTACATAATAATATATGGAATATACAAGAAATTTTCTAAAAAAAAAGAAAACAGAAAGTCAGTACCTAGGTCAAGGCCGGTACCTACTCATTCAAAATTTTATTAAATGCTATCAAATTATGAAAAATATATTCTTTTGATACTTTTGCAAACGATTTACATTTTTGTATTTTTCTGATCTCCATTGGCAATATATTGAAAGCTTTAGGGACAGTATAAATAAATAATCTATGGGAAATATTTTTATTAAATCTTCGAGTTGATAATATAATAACTCATTTGATGTACTGTGTCTGATACACAGAGTAACATTGCATTTGATTAGGCAGATTTTTGAATACATGGATACATCTCGGGATACATATTTTATGAAAATATAAGGTGCGAATATTACCTCTGTATAGAGCAGACTAGTAGTATATCTTCTTTGTTTTCTATAAATTATTTTCAATGTGTAGTTTTGAACTACATTCAGCTTTTGCAGTGTGTTACAATAAATTCCTTCCCAAACCAAAATGCCATAGCAAAACAGTGATTCAGCAAGAGATTTGAAAATTGATAATAGTATGTTTTTTGGAAGAAAATCGCGCATCTGATAAAATTTGTAGATAAGCCTTCCCACTCTTTTTGTAAGGTAGTTCACATGACTTGTCCATTTCCATTTCAAATTCCTATCTAAAATTATGCCCAAGTACTTAATTTCACTCACCTCCCCAATATGCTCATCCATGACCTGAACACGGACACTATGATACTCTTGTTTGTTAGCATCTGATAGAGTATAGGCAAGATCGAGGGCAAGATATTGTGCTTTATCAACGTTTAGCGACAAGTAGTTGAAGTTTAGCCAATTTTTAATTTTTTCACGTTTTTCTTAGATTACTTAATTTTTTTCCATGCTCATGTGCACAGCCAATTTGGTTCACTTCCATGTTGCACCCTTAAATGTTACCACTGTATCATCTGCATACGCAACAATTTTTACTACAGTAATAAGAGATAGTAATGAATTAATATACAGCAATTTTTTGATGTTTTTTTTTTGCTTAAGTTGTAGAGGCCGCACTAATTAATGACAGCTTTTCTCAGGAAAATCAAACTTCACAATTTTAATTTCATTTTACTAATTATTCAACTCAAATTACCATAAACCTTCATCCACATCAAAAGCAACATAACGGAACATCGTGTTTATGTTCCTTGTTCCTGGAACTTTCTTCTGCATGTCTCCAAAAGTTTATTCAAGTTCCTTATTGTTTAGGGTTGAAGCAACAAAATTTCCTATAAGTTGCTTGTTTCCATTGAATGACATAGGCACAGGTATATCATATTTTAAAAGATCTTTCTTTAGTTGCTTTTATGATTTCAAAAATATATACCTACCTATTTATCTGTCACATTTTATGGAGGAGAGAAGAGAAAAAATTCCTGAGCGTTTAGAAATTCAAAAAGTTGTTCTTATTTAGCTATAAAATAGATATATTGGATCAATTTGTTGCAAATATTTTCAAAAACTTGGCTTGACAGGTAAAAAGCAAAATGAGGCGATATCATTGCCCTTTTTAATTGTTTTTTTGACAAAGCAAACCCTACTCCCTATACTTTTGATCAACAAGGACCCTTCAAACAATATCTTATGTAGGTTTATTTTCATTTAGAAAAATTGAGTAGGAATATTGAAGAAAAATAGCAACAACACGATATTTTGAACTCAAGCACTGAAGATTCCTTCCCCAAAAATTCCACTTCAGGTTCAACCGAAAGTTTTCGGTCGATCTACTTTGTTTGACTAACAATTTTGAATGGTTTTTGTATAGTTTACTCCCTCTATAATTTTGATTCCAATAAAACTTGATATTTTTTTGGGACTTGTCAAACCGCCAGTATTCAGTGCAGGCGCATAGGTTTTCTGTTGCTCAAAATGTTCTGAGGGGCGTACCTACCTATTTAAATTAAGCTTACATCCATTATTTAATCCTTTTAAATTTGCGTGGAAAACTAGAACGAAACAATAGTTGAAAAAGTCGAAACGCATATTTCTCGACATATTTATTTTCAAATGAGCTCTGGGACTTAAATCCTATCCTTCCAGGCGATTGTTTCGTTTTAGTTTTCATTTTTGAAAACGCACATCATGAATTATGACATACATGAGTATCCAACACGTCATGGGGTGGACTTAAGACCAACTTTTTGCCGCTTAACAAAATCTCAAAGCAGGCCTGAATATACAGCTGTTAGGCTTTTCAACAAATTACCAATAGGTGTCACTTTTTTTTCTGACATAATGTAAAAATTGTAATATTTCTCAACGTGAATTAATTATCTATCTATTTATCTTTCTATCTATCAATATAACAGTAAATTTATATTGCTCGAGAGAGCGAGATGGCTTGAGAGAACTAGAGAAATTCTCAACGAGAAAAAGCATTCTCCTTTTCAAGTTTCTCCAGTTTTTTGTGGTCTTTTTTCATAAATGTAAACGGTATCTATCATTTATATGTTGCGGGAACTACATATACAGGGTGTCACGTTTGTTACAAACTTCTAGGGATGGAAGATCTCGTAATGATTAAGCATTCATAAACATGTGTCCAGAAATGCTTAGCTTTTCAGATACATGGTGTTAAACTTTGTAAACAAAAGTCAATTTTTTTATTAATTCTTAGAAATGCGAAATGCGTGCGTTTTAGAAAAAAAGTTTTTTGTTTTTTGTTTATTTTTAAGCAACAAATAGGCTGGTGAAATTTTAGGTAATTCTGAGGCAATTTATTTTTTAGTTATGGAGGTCAATGACGTTCGTGGTTCGCCTAAAATGGTTTTTAAATTTTCTTGGTATTCTTTCGATCTGATCAAACTGATTGTGATCACATGAGGTTTGTTCATAAGGCGACAAAAAACAGCTGGGGCCAATAAAATCGTTTTAAAACCGGATGGAAATTGTTTGAAACAAACCTCAAGTGACTTCGATCAGTTTGTTCAGATCGAAAGAATACACCTTTTATCTCGAAAACAAGGCAGCATACGGTAAAAATGAAGACTTCAGATAAACTTGCTGGTAACTATCTGCAAAATAAATTTAGCGTTCTATAATTCTATTGGTCCAATGAGATTACAGATTGTGTTTTTATCCGTCAGATTGCATACCTGACAGTTTATCAGAAGGTGAATAAACCGGCCCTAAGTGTATTATTCAAAAAACATATCCTGATTAAAAATTAATTCACTGGACAACGTTTTTCGTGCTAAAAATCATCCGACATACCATGTGGCACGCCCCTGAAATTACTGGGTCCATAAAGGTTTCAATAAACTATCAAAATTTCATTAAATTCGTCCAACGCATTTTTAAGAATTATTAAAAAAATTGTTTTTTTTTCTACAAAGTCCAACACCCTGTATGTGGAAAGCAAAGCATTTCCGGACATTTTTATCAAAAAAAAAACTTCATTCTTACGATATATATCATCTCTGGATGTTTGTAACAAACCTTCCGTGACACTCTGTATACATTTTCATATACCTAGAGTGTACTGTTTCTGAGATATTCGGTGTCTAATTCAAGAGCAAATTTTCGGTGTTTCAAACGTTTAAAGACCAAAAGACCCCAAATATCTCAAAAACAAAACAGTTCAGGCATAGAAAAATTTATACAAATATAATTCGAAATTCTTCGTTGAATGCGAATTTTCAGTTATTAGTAAGTGGTACGGTACCACTCAGGGTACCATTAAAATTGTTGCAGTAACATAACCTCTAAAGTAGATCTTCCGGAAACTTTCGATTGAACCGGAAGTGAACTCTTTAGTGCTTCTGAAAAAAGTTGAAAATATCATATTTCTTCAATTATTTTCTGTCAAAACCAAAATAAAAATAATTTTTTGACATTTTCAATCGCGATTATCTCGAAAACTTAAAGTTTCGTCGATATGAATAATATACCTACATCCTCAAAATTTGAAATCGATATTGATTTCTATGCCTATAGTAATCTCGTGTTTATGGGTAAACGGATAACACTATAACATTATTACACAATACAGAATATGCTATGGAATAATTACTTTTTTCCCCATTTAACCTCCCATGCTACCCCAGCATAAAATATGTTTTCTACTTTCCTATATAGTGCCTTTTCTAGTATTTTACCAGGATTTTATCAATTCTTGGAGCTTGTACTGAGCTGCATATTTATAGAGTAGAAATTTGTACCGTTGATTTTAACATATTATGTATTTCTCTTCTTTTCTCTACTACTTACTAATTTCTATTTTTCTGTAACCTTCAATAAACTTCCTTAAAATACCAACTCTGGGATATCTTAATAGCAGAGGTGATACGTGTTTTTTAAAGCATCCTGTATAATTATAAATTCGAAAATCTACTTATGGAATTCAGAATAATAATTTTATGCTGCACACTGCTATTGCTTGCCCGCGACCTTGTTTAATTTAAATTTAGAGTTTAAACTACAGTAGCTAGGTTTTAACAGAAACCATAAAATGTATAAATAAGTTGAAATTTTATCCCTCAAACATTAAAATAAAACTAAAAATAAAATTATGATAGCTTTATAGTAAAATGGCAAACATCATTCAAAGCTAAAAATATACATCTTCCAAAATGTAAGTAATCAAATCAATAAAATTTGTATTTAACAAATAAGTTATTTAGTTTTATTTAAAGAAAAAAAAAAGATTTTCTTAGTGGGATATGTTAGTCACAATAATTGTTGTTGATCACTTATTAGCTATACACTTTTATTACTGATATAGCTGCGAAAATACTTCAGGATTCTATGTAGAAGTTCTTTTTTGGCTACTTTTTGCATGTGTATTATTTTATATAGTCTCTCTATTAGTAACTAGTAATTATGAAAAGATGTTTGATTTTTCTTACGAAACGTTGCATAGTATCTAAGTATCTATACATGCTGATCTACAGAAAAACTGCACACTTTGGTCTTAGGGGCCAAAAACTTTTACGCACCTTGAGCTCTTGCTAAACAACAAGCTCTTTATCGGAAATGTTTAAATAGATTTACACAAGGAGAGGCATAGGATCATATACATAATTTATAAATTTAGGTAAGGGCGCAATTGATACAAACCTTCAGAAATTTCCAGCTAAAATAGAAAACCTATTTCAGTCAACACCTACATATAACAATGACTTCAATATTTTTGTCAGTTATTCATCTATTCTTCTCTATCTCTATCTATTGAAAAAAATCGGACTTTGGTCAATATCTCCAGATCGGGGCCAAATACAACAAAAATGAGAACGTTTCGCAGTATTGTGGTTTGCACCAATCAAGATTTCATGAAATTTGGGCCTCAGAGTGGGGGGTTAATTTTTTTGTACCTCTCTCAGAAATTGATGTTTCCTATAAAAAGTTTCCAAATTGAGACACCCTGTACATTCAAGAAAAGTGTTTTTTATGAATCTATTTTCCTTCTTTCTATTACTTTAGGTTACAGTGAGTTGTTGAGATGGTGATGCCTGAATAATAATTGAAAATCGGTTCATATCTGTAAAGACTTGTTTCTCAATGATCGGTTGTTTTTTTTAATTTATTTCATGTTCAATAAATGACATATTTCAGATCTAATGTAGCAAAGTATTGCTAGAATATTCAATCAAAACTATTTGAGAGTTTTAAAAACCCTTTCAATGTCTCTTAAGAATATAAAAAGATGTGAATTTCGCAGCATGTATAGGATGGCACCCTCATTTTCTCTCTGATTATCATGTTATCGAAATGTGGTGCTTTTAATTATTTTACAGATTGTTTTTTGTTTTAGTATGACAAAAATCAAAAACATGGGTCTGAACAAGAAAAAAATTATTTTGATAGTTTATTTATAGTCCTAGATACATTGGAAAAATGTTTCAGTATTCAGCCAAAAGACTCCATATCCTTGACTATGGAGGAAAGTCAAAACCTAAAGATACTTTTAAAGGAAATTTGCAGTTATCTTCTGATAAAAGGTAACAAACGCACCTATGGGGATTAAGTATTATGTGTTTTTTTTTTTGCCGCAAATTATAATACACTGACCTGCAGAGAAAAGGGAATCTTTGTTAATTGTACTTATCTCATGTAGTTTTTGTTTTTTGTTGAATGTCTTGACGTTCAAAGTTATACTTCTTATAATAATTATAAAAATTCTATAGCTAATATCATTGTTATCAATTCCATCTAGGATTTTTAAAAAGTGCATGGATAAACACATAAGTAATACAATGTTGTGGGAAATGGTTTGACGAAACCCAGTTTGGATTGTATTTCAGGAATTATTGAAAAGCGTCATTTAAGAGGTTGGGGATACTCACCTTTTGTCTAATCTTTCTGGAGAATTTGCCCATGTGAGGGTAAACATCCATCTGCTCGCAAGGGCATATACAGAGATAGATAACCAGCATACTGGCGACTGAAGGTACCAGCATGCTGGCGACTGAAGATGTGAATAAATTGACGTTCCCTATGTTCAAGAAACACGTGAAACAAATTTCAATTTTTATGGTCTTTCATTACAAGTGAAGAGTACCCTATACAGTGCGGAGATAAAGTCCGTCATCCCTGTAAATTTTGAACTGCTCGAGCAAATTCTCCATTTTTGAAAAAGAAATGACAGCTTCAGCTGTCAAAATAACATCTGGGCGCAGTTTTGGAACTTTTTTTTAAATAGAAGGCGGAGTCGAGTGATATATCGTTTAAAAGATCTCTCTATTCTTAATTTAATCCCCGATTTTCATAACATTTTTGGTTTAGCGATTTTCAAATGATGACGAAAAAACATAGGTTTGTTCTGGTCATAATTTTTTTTTTTTGTAATTGAATCATTATTTTATACTTGTGTTTTTTTTTTGCTTTTCAAGTTACCAATGTCATTACGTCATTATTTTTTACTGGAACAAATTCAACTATAATGAATGAAAAACCGATAAAACATTATCTTTTTTTTATGACCAAAGCAACCCCATGTTTTTCGTCATCATATGAAAACCGCTAAAGGTACTTTTTGCTTGGAGCGACTATTGCGATGATCGCAGAGCGATAATCGCGGGGCGATAATTACTTGCGTTGATCGCTAGCTGGAGCGTTTTGCTTGGCAGCGGCTATTTACTAGTCAGCTTTCTCCTAAAAAATATTCTTTGGCTAAAATTTCTGTTATAGTAGGCTGTCAATTCTTATCTCGACTCTTCTTGTTGATACAATGAGTGTCGCGATGTGTGTAACAAAATGGATTAGTAAGAAAAGTAAAACAGTGTTATTAAAACATCTTTTTCTGGAAGGAATTTACGATGAAGACATGCTAGAAATGTTGAGTTTGCCAAGACTTCCTAAACGTCTTCATAAGAAGGATCGATGAAAGATACTTTAAAGTTTTGTTTACAATTTACTTGTATGGTGACTTCAAAAAACACGAAAACACATGTACACTTGGTAATAATCGTTCGCGACTGGCGATTATATCTGCTCTGGGACCAGACGCGCGCTATTGAAGGAAAACGGAACAATTTTGAAACATACAGGCAGGACTCCGCGATCATCGCAATAGTCGCTCCAAGCAAAACTTACCTTAAATCAAATCTTTTCTGAATCGGGGATTAAATTAAAAACAAAGAGACCTTTGAAACGATATCTCACTCGACCGCGCCTTCTATTAGAAAAAAAGGTTCAATACTGAAACCAGCCGTCATTTTGACAGCAAAAACTGTAATTTATTTTTCAATGAACGAAGACTTTGCTCACATATCATCGTTTAAATTTCGTTGTAATAAACCGAGCGGTTCAAAAGTTAGAGGAGGGCGACCGACTTTATGTCCTTACTGTATTTCACTCAAATACAGTACCTATTTTCCAAAAAAAAGAGAGTTTTTTGTCGAGTTTCAGAATATGCCGAACTTCTAGAAGTTATACCAATGGTGTTTCATCCACTCAATAATTTTAAGTTTTGAGTATTGAATTGTTGAGATTGCCATTAATTAAAAACTGTGACTTTTTTAAAAATTTTATTCGTCTTACCAATTTTGAATTTGAAGCAGATACTTTGGATCATTGTTGAAATTTTACTCTGCTTCCAAAGCCTGGATCTCACACGACAAATCGACGACGATAAGGCTTTAGAGTAATGGGTTTCTTTTTTGGCCTCTTCTGCAGCTCCTTTTAGGTTTTGAATGAAAATTGAGAGTCCTACACTGGTGCATTCTTTTCAAGTACTGTCTTGCTAAACCGAAAAAAAAACTGCAATAATGGTTTTTATGGAATGGGAGATGTTGATGACTGGAAAGATGATTGGTAGAGGCAGTATTCCTGCGTATTTCTTTGGACTTGATAAGCTACAGTGTGGAGCAAGTATCAACCAGATTGCCAAAAACTTGACGAAGGCACATTGATGTTGCTAAGCCTCTTTGCCTGTTCTGAGAACGGAATACTTCGCAGTTTTTCATTCGCACATATCCTATGCGATTTTGGCCTGGGGACACTCAACGGAGTTCATAAAATGTTTGTAATACAAAGGAAGCTTTCGCTTCTTTTGGAATACTTACGTTTATCTCCTTATAGTATATACTGAAGAATCTGCATTCTGCAAGGAGAGGTAGAAACTATCATGAAAATGTTCAACTATACAGTGCCCGCGGAAAAGTCTGCACCATATGGGAAATTTTTTTATGCTCATTTTTACTTCAAATCAGTTTTCGGTATTAGGTTCTGCATGACTGAAAACCAAAAAAACACCTAAAATTTTTGACTCGAGACTTACCTCACACCTGTCAAATGCCATTTGAAAATTTCAAACAAGGAAAAGTGGCATTTTTATAAAAAATATGAAAAAAATTTATAAGAAAATATTGTTCCAAATGACATTTTTAGTCTAATTTGATATTTTTACTTTGAAAAAAAAAAAAAAAAAAATATTTTTAGGATTTCTTTCGCGACCATTCCTCTAAAATAATTAGTTTGTATCTGACTAATGGTTTTTTAAATCTTAATAATCTAATCAAGAGTTTAAACATCAAAAAGAAAAGTTTCTATTAAAATTTTGATACGCCTCTGGACTATTTTGAAAATTTTAGATTTCTCAAATTGAAATTTCAAATTGTTTGTTTATAAACTACTCCTAAATTTCATTTGGAACAATATTTTCTTGTAAAATTTTTTCATATTTTTTATAAAAATGCCACTTTTCCTTGTTTGAAATTTTCAAATGGCATTTGAGGCAAGACTCGAGTCAAAAATTTTAGGTATTTTTTTGGTTTTCAGTTATGCAAAACCTAATGCCGAAAACCGATTTGAAGTAAGGATGAGCATACAAAAATTTCCCATATGGTGCAGACTTTTCCGCGGGCACTGTATAATATCTAAAATAAAAAATAAAATAGTTTCTCAGAAGGTTTCAAGAGAGCCCGGGTTATTGGGCAATTGAATTATTTAATGTCCTACCACAAAGTTCTTTGATACTTTGTGGCTAACCTAAAATGTTTTTCATGAGGAGGTAAAGACACAGTTTTTATTTATTCCTTGAATTTTTAGAGTTCAGATTTTAACTGTATATACCTATTGTGTCCATGTACTTGTTTTTTTATTACAAATTAGAGCAAAAATATGGTTTCATGTCTTTGTATTTCACTTTTAGTATTCTTTGTAAGTAACTTTTTGATCTCAACAAAGGCTAATTGTTTTTCTGTTTTGTTCGGACGCTCTATTTTTTCGGTCTCCAGTGGCAATCGAGTTCTGAGAAGATAATATTTTGCAATTGTGCATTCACAAAATCGTTATTTTGAATTCTATTTTATTCTCATCATTTTCTCATAAATTCAATATTGAAGATGATCAAAATTTTGATTTTTCAGTATCAATTTCAATTGGTAGATCCTTTCCATCAGACGTTACGGCGACGAATCCACGTTTTCTATTGACGATCTGGCATTTATCAAAAGGGCACCGTTCACTTCTGGTTGTTCAATACGTTTAGTTGTTTTTGAAGATTCGAAATTACTGTTTTTCAAAAACCAGAGAGTTAAAAGGCTGAATGCCACATGCTCTGTAGCCGCTTACAGTATTATTTACTTTGGCTACCCTGCAGTGTAAGCCTCCTCAAACAAAGTTCCTCTATTTTTTTTTTTTCGGTTATTGGACTTTCTAGATGATTTATTAAAAACAAATCACATATTTGATTATAATATGCGCGAAGGGAAGTTTCTGCTTTCATCCAGCCTGAAGGTTGTGACCTAGAATCAGAACTGGGAGGACAACCATTTTAAAACTCGGGTTTCATTTTAACTGGGCCAAATATCAAAAATGGAGGTACGTATGACCCGACAGCGTTCATTGCCACACTAAAGTTGTATTTCGAACTGTCTCGACAGTCACTATTTTAGCAACTCTTCGTTGGCCTTTGTAGTGATGATTTTTCGTAGCTTCGCTAGTACAGTTAAAAGACCAGATTCGTCCGCATTGTAGGTGCGGTCTGCTCATCAATTCTGATGTAGTGCTTGCATTGAACTAAGCATGGCTCGGCTGAATAATGTACCTGCCTTATTATCAGTGTACCAGGGCGATGTTTGATTCGAAAATCGTAGTTGCATCTTCTCCATCGAAGACTGAGAATCACCAGAGGGGGAATGAGATCTCAGCCGTATTCCACAGTCATACTTGAAATGTCTTCTTTTTCCGCAGCAGTAACATTCGGTGTTCCTTTTCAAGTTCTTTTGATTGATTCTGACAAAAACTTTCCTTCATTTTTTTCTGAGGTTCCTTCGTTATGCATGCCTGGTTTCATTACATTGATTAACATTCTAGAACAACTCCTTTTTAGATCTCGTTTGCATCTTCCTCTTTGCCTATTATGTTAATCAAAATTGAATAATATTTTTCATCATAAATTTAAATTCTTCTAAACTACGGCTGGCGCAAACAGCTGCCGACTTAGTTAATGACGTCGGCAATGGCGCTACACGAATATGGCCGCGATTACCAAAAACGAGGCCGATAAGTAAGCCTTAAGGGTGTATTATCCTTGATAGGTACCTACTAAGAAATGTCAACATGCACTTCAGTTGTTTTCTTCTTGGCCCACGCATTGTTACACATTACACATCTAGTTCTGCGCCTGGTTCTTTTTGTTTTTGTTTCTGTCTTTGCATACTTTTCTCGCCTCTCTGTCTTCGGGCTTCGTCTTGTCATGTCTGCGGTCTTTTTTTTTTGTTTGGTGTTTTTTATAAAACACTGCTATCAAAGTCTGTGCTATACATATTTGTTTGTTTTAGGTTTATAAACCTAGCAGTCCCAAGGTGGAAAAAAACTTGGGGAACTATATAATAATTAGGTGCTAATTAGGGCTTCTAATTAAAAATTGGGTGCTCCTTTAGTTTTTGAGAATATCAAAAAAAACTAAGGGACTGCTAGGTTTATAAAAGCTAGCAGTCCCCTACAGTAAAAAATATTTTTTCGAATTTTTTCTTTGTATCAGAATTAGGTACTTTTTAGGTGCTCCTAAATAGTCCAAGAAAAAATAGAATTGAGTAATTATTAACTGAGTTACAGATTTTTTTTTAATTATTAGGGGACTGCTGGCTTTATGTTTACTTGTTGGTGTGTCAGAATGGCAAAAAAACTTCGGGATCTATAAAATAATTAGGTGCTTCTTAGGTGCTAATTAGGGCCTCTAATTAAAAATTAGGTGCTCCTCTAGTTTTTGAGAAAATCAAAAAAAAACTAAGGGACTGCTAGGTTTATGAAAGCTAGAAGTCCCCTATTAATTAAAAAAAAGTCTGTAACTCAGTTAATAATTAATCAATTCTATTTTTTCTTCGACTATTTAGGAGCACCTAAAAAGCACCTAATTCTAATACAAAAGAAATTTTTGGAAAAATATTTTCCACTATAGGGGACTACTAGCTTTCATAAACCTAGCAATCCCTTAGTTTTTTTTGATTTTCTCAAAAACTAGAGGAGCACCTAATTTTTAATTAGAAGCCCTAATTAGCACCTAAAAAGCACCTAATTATTATATAGATCCCGAAGTTTTTCTGCCATTCTGACACAACATGTAAACGTAAAGCCAGCAGTCCCCTAGAAAAATCTGTAACTCGGTTAATAATTAATTCTATTTTTTCTTGGACTATTTAGGAGCACCTAAAAAGCACCTAATTCTGATACAAAGAAAAAATTTGAAAAAATATTTTTTATTATAGGGGACTGCTAGCTTTTATAAACCTAGCAGTCCTTTGTTTTTTTTTTTATTTTCTCAAAAACTAAAGGAGCACCTAATTTTTAATTAGAGGCCCTAATTAGCACCTAAAAAGCACCTAATTATTATATAGATCCCGAAGTTTTTTTCCATTCTGACACACCAACATGTAAACGCAAAGCCAGCAGTCCCCTAATAATTAAAAAAAAAATCTGTAACTCAGTTAATAATTAATCAATTCTATTTTTTCTTCAACTATTTAGGAGCACCTAAAAAGCACCTAATTCTGATACCAAAGAAATTTTTGGAAAAATATTTTTTACTATAGGGGACTACTAGCTTTCATAAACCTAGCAAACCCTTAGTTTTTTTTGATTTTCTCAAAAACTAGAGGAGCACCTAATTTTTAATTAGAAGCCCTAATTAGCACCTAAAAAGCACCTAATTATTATATAGATCCCGAAGTTTTTCTGCCATTCTGACACAACATGTAAACGTAAAGCCAGCAGTCCCCTAATAATTAAAGAAAAATCTGTAACTCGGTTAATAATTAATTCTATTTTTTCTTGGACTATTTAGGAGCACCTAAAAAGCACCTAATTATTATATAGTTCCCGAAGTTTTTCCACCTTGGGACTGCTAGGTTTATAGACCTGTTTGTTTTTGCTGCCGTTGATTTACCATAGAGACTATATGTTTCTTGAAACTTTATTTTAAATATTTAGTCCAGTGGCGAATTCTAAATTTCCGAACTTTCACTTATTGTTCTTACTTATTTGCTCAAATCTATTTTTTAATTACCTCGCTATTTAGCCCCCTAACTACCTCAAATTAATCCACTAGCTATCTCGCCAACTATTTTGACAAATTTGCTCAAATTAATACGCTTGCTAATAATTAGCCCCTCCTGAAACCAAATTGTCACGGAATCCGCGGGTCCACTAAAAACTTTCTTTAATTATCAGTTATTACCATGATAACTTTTTTTGAAGTAACTGACTACATACAACATTCACTAATCACTCATTGCTATTAATTAACTAACTATCGAATAATGTTCCCCCACAGCTGACACGTGAAATTGAAGTCAAACTGATCAGAAGAGAGATCTGCAAACATTATGCTAGGATTGATTCTTTTAATTGTGATCTTAAAAGGACTTACGTCAATTTGGTGAGAGACTTTGGTATTGAATATTTTTCTTACACATCCAATGAAATATCTGACTTGTTCCCCCAGGCTAGGGAGTTCAAGGTCAACAAATGCTGTTTCCTTCCTTATTCGGACAGATGCACACAGCCTCCTCTCCTTGGTATTAATTAACTGTACAAAACAATTCTCTAATCCAAATGGAATTACTGGCTTACAAACTACGTGCTTTATATAGAAAAATATCTATTCGATAAATCTGTAGAATCACGTAAATGCTTGTTTACTTAAAGCGCCCAATGAAATTCTTGAATAATCGCGCTCGGTCTCGTCAACAGCGGCGCCGGCCTCTGCGTGCAATTTCGTAACAATAGATTGCTTTTGCCGGACGGTCATGAATGAGATACAGTCTATTTGTGTTTTTTAAGTGTTTGGTTGGATGGATTTTGGCAACTATCTTTAGAGGTTGCTGGATTTTCCATATGAATAGAACTTTTATGGAGGATATCTTATTCTGCATTCAAGAGATGTTTTGCAAGAAATTTTGAATTATATGATTGAGACTGAGACAAAGGTTGGAAAGTGTTATCGAAGCAAGGGACGGTGACAGAAGCTAATAAAAGTTTGGGTTTCGTTCTTTCTGTGCTGTTGTAAGCGCTGCTATATTTAGTTTTTAAGTTTTTTGCTGGTCAGTGTAATTATTTTCGTGGCACAATTTTTACCACTGTTTCAAGAAAAGTGTATGTATTTGTAATTTTCAGATGTATTCCCGGAAAATAATCCAAACACTCATGCAGTGAGATTATTAGCCAGTAAAGTTCTTTTCGCGTTATCTGTAAATTTTTTTAATATTGTATTTACAAGAATCACTTCGAAATTACAAGAATGTGCTACTTCTCCAGAAGAAATTACTGAGCTAAGTGAAATCGAATTGATTCAACACATAAACGTAGACGTGAAAAGATTATCCAAGCTTTTTCACGAGGGAGTAACAAAATTCAAGCAACTCAGAAAAAATGCTCAGCAATTGTATGTTACGTCACTTGAGAAAGTTATTTGGAATTGGATTGAAACATATCCACTTGAATTTGCTGACTATCAAAAACATCCAGATGAGGATCTGTATAAAAGTGCTGACCAGTTGTTCGATATCATGGAATCATATAGCGATAATAAGAAAATTAAACCTAATATGTGGTCATTACAAATGATGTTATTAGTACTTATTCCAGTAAGTATCATGTTTATTTTAAAGGGTCCTGTTGTTAGAAATCTGAGTCCAAGCTCCAATTAAACCAAAGATCTGAAATCCATCAGATCATTGCCATCCAAGATTTAAAATTTTTAGCCTTGGGAAAATGTTAAAATTGATTGTTGTGCTTAATAAACTGTCAGAATTTTAAAATATATACATATATTTAAGATTAGCTCCTACTTAGACTTACTAGCTAATCCATGTTTCGTTTTTAGAAAGTTTTAGAAGATGTTATTATTTCTGAAAGCAGTGTAGGAACATCAAGAATAACAAAGAAAAATTATGTCGATAACATCAGAAAATCTCTGACTTTGCACTCAAATAATAAACAGTCAATAGAAGCTGCAGCAGTAGCATGTGTCAAGCTGTGCAAAGCTTCTACCTATATCAATACTCTAGAATCAACAAATAAAATTTTTGTACAAAGTATAATGAACGATCTTAAGGTAATTTATTTTTTTAAACAAAATAATTATAATAATTCAAAAATATTTTTTTAGAATTTGTTATTTAATCCAACAAACCCGTATTCAAGGAGGACGGGTCAGGATATTGACGTAATGATAGATTATTTTGTATCAGTATTTCGTATATACCCTCACAGTAATGAATGCCTGAAAGTATGCTTAGGTTTGAGCTCTCCCCCAAGTTATCATTTTGTGTTAGTCAGATCGTTGTATAAAATTGTAACGCAACCTAGATTACCTTGGTGGCCCATGATTGACATCGTTTACACCAAATCGGCAGAACTGAGAGATATTTTTGCTGATATTTTAAATAAAGTAGCTACCCAAGGTTATAGTCAACACACTCCTTTAAGAATGATGATTACTTTAAAAGGAAGCAAAGATACGCAGTTAAAATATCGCGCCGGCGCAGAAGAGACAACTGGTTATAGAAATTTATTATTATTTATGGTCAGGCTTATTCATGCTGATCCAGTATTGTTTTTGAATCATCACGGAAAGCCAGGCCACGAAGTTCAAAGCTGCACTCTCGACCTAATAAATGGATTAGTATCTTTAGTTCATTTACAGTCGATGCCTGAAGTAGCTCAGGAAGCCATGGATGCCTTATTAGTTCTTCATCATCCTGATAAAATAGAAATGTGGAATCCCGAAGCTCCTATCAATACCTTTTGGGACGTTGGATCACAAGTTTTAAGCCAAATATCTGGTAAACTTATACAGCATCAATATGTAAACTATACCGATATTCTAAAATGGCTCAGGGAAATATTGGTTTTTAGAAATGCATTTTTAACTAAACATAAGGAATATGCTACTTTAGGTAGTTCCATTAGTCATTCTCTCCAAGCTCACGTAAAATTGGAGGTAGGTAATAACATAATTAGTTATAAAATGTATCAATTTTAACAGATGTAATGGAAATATTACGAAAAGTGAAGGATTATAGCTGGACGCCCACCAATTCTATTCAATTGGAACTAAATTTATTATTGGCAGTAGATTTTCACATTTTCTTCCGGGGTGTTAAGCTACTCGGGTTTTTCTCAGACGAATTAACATTTCTGTGTTTATCATCATATTCATCATCTAAATTCCCAGACGAAGTTAAATTCGTGACGAAATTTACTTCCAGAATCTGGATTTCGTATCCAGGATCAATTTATTTTGATAAGTTTGCATGACTTTGCCTAAAAACTGCGGTAGCTGCGATTTACGATTGTCATATTACTCATCACATCATAAACTTCAATACGTTTCCTGCAGAAAAAACATATTTAGGATCCTTTGTACTTTCCATAATATTCTCATTAAAGTTAAATTGGTACCCATATTTGTTTTTCTTCATTTTCACTTTGTAGATTGTTTACTACATGTACCTTTGGAGCATTGACATAGACGCAGTGCTAGTAGCTATGAGCTGCTTCGCATTGTTGTGCCAAGAAGCTGAAATAATTTGTTTATCTGAAGAAATAAGTGTCACTACTTACGTACCTAATTATCATATTTATTTGGAGCTTGCTCAAGCCTCGACTATTCTTACTACTGGTAACTGATTTTTTTTACATTTTTTAAAAAATAGTTGAAAATTTAGTTAGAAAAAAAAATTGAAAATAAACATACTTTAAATCCCACTTACTTCATTAAAACAACTGGACATGCTGTGCTACGCTGTCACTACATCATAATAAGGAAAATGACGTTTTTGATGATTTTTGGGTTTTAATTTTACCATAACTTTCTAAGTTAATTCCCAAAAATACAGAGGAGAGAATCAATAAATTAGATCCCCTAGTCGCTGAAAATAAACTTATGAAGTCAGATCATTTATATACCTACTGACTTAAAAATACCTACCTATGTTAAATACATACATATATTTAGACCGGCATATTCCGAAAAACTCTGTTACCTATTTGATATGGTGTGATTATCTTTTTATGTGTCATCATTTGTATTACCATAGATCATTTCTCAATTTTGATGAAGCTACAGTGTAGAGTAGAGCAACATAGCAATTCAGTTTAATTAAGTAAGTGGAAATTAGAGTACTTGAACTAATTACGTTACGAATCTTCAATTAGAAATGAATTTGCGAAACGTAAATGCCAAATCAACGTTTAACTCATTTAAAGGTCGTTTAGCATTGCAAAAACGAATCATGGCACTACTAAGGAAGATAGAACATTGCGTTAACGGTGTTTATTCAGCTTGGGAAGAAACATTTAGAAACTGGACTGCATCTTATAAAAGTATAACAGCATTGTCTAAAACTCGTTCTGATGACGGTCAAATGGAACCCTTTCATAGGTCTGTAGGAAAACGACGGGCTTCGCATCAAAACTCTGAGCACGAGCTTGAAGTAAGACCATTTAACATAAATTTATTTTATAATTACAACAATAATCTTGACGCAGAAAGAACAAATATTCGAATGGGCAAATATGACGGGCTTTCTTTGCGCTCTTGGGGGTGTCTGTTTACAAGCTAGAAGTAAAGGTCTACAAGCGACTGCGCCTAGTACCTCTCAGCAACCGCAGTTACAACAACAAACGCCTCAACAAGGTTCACATGCTTCTGCTAACCAAAGTAATACCACTACAACTACGGGCTCTATGCCGGGTTATTCTAGTACATCATCTTTGGCTGGAGCTGCATCTACTCTCAGTGAAGTGAGCTGCAGTACTAGAAGAACTACTGTTGCCACAATAACTAGAACCCATCAATTTGATGCCGAGGGGAGCAATGTTATACAGTAAGTGAATACTTTATTGAGTGTGTTTTTATTTTATGTTTCCACATTGAGATCTTGGTAAGGTTTTATAGAAAGATGTATTAGTATTTTTACAGGGTGGCAACGAAAAAAGGACCTTATAACTTTTTTAACTAAACTGCTGGACAAATGAAGCGGAACAAGCGAATTTTTAATTTAACTTTGGAGCCCAATATTATGCGAATGAATGATTTGCGTAATTTAGAAGTTAATTTTCGCAAACGGCTAGTTCCGCTTCATTTCTCTAGCAGTTTATATTATCAAAATGATTTAGGTTTTCGATTTTCAGTATAGGATGACTAGGATGAGTTGAAACGACTAATTTTGAATCAAGTAGTCAGAAAAAAAGTTTTAATCGTAATTTCTCTTGAGCGGGCGAACGTAAACTTCGTAAAATAATATGTTTAAGTTAACTGAATTCTCTAAAACAAGGCAAAGCAATGGGCTCTTTCACTAATTTTTGAAATTGGCATATTTGGATAAAGCAACTAAAAACAGAATTTTCTGTATTTTTACTTTTGAAAAATTCATAGTCCTTCTTGAGAAAACAGAAAAAAAAGAAATACCTCCAAATAAAAACCCAGAATTTATTTCTATGACGTCGCAGCTCGCTATTTGACCGTGTTGCCACTAATTGTCAACATTGAAAATTTGTAATAGATTTAATTCTGAAATGTTCGCAAAATTTCATGAAAAGTAGTTAAATTAATTAGTTATGGATTCAAGATTTTATAACATTTTTATTGAAATTATGCTTAAACACAATTTAATATAATTTTCTATGTTTAGTTTTATTTATTTATTTTACGTTGCACTACATTTAGTCACCACCGACAACAGCGCATTCGAACCTTTACCTGCATTTACTACAGGATAAATACAGCAGAGGCGGACAGCTGTTTGCAACAACAAGCGAAATGAAAAATATTTATGCGACGTCAGCAAATCGGCGCGTTTTTAAATAATTCAAATTTTGGTAGTTTAAAATGCCTGTAAAAAACTTATTTAACCTTGTAGAACATTTTTTTTTGGTATATGTGCCTAAAATAGTCCCTCCTTTGGGATTTTATACTTAAATTACGTATTTAAATTTTAGTGAAAGAGCCCATTCAGTCAAAGTTCACGTATAGAAATATTTATTAATTTTTTCAATCCCAGATAGGCTGCGTGGTTTAAAAAATAAAGTGGCTTCGGCAGAGAAAAATTATACAGGGTGGAAAATTGAAAAGGATCCACCTGGATTTTCTCGAAAATTATTAAGAAATTAAAAAAACGCCGAAAGACGTCGATTTTGTTTGCAAGGGGGACACTTTTTGGCTATTTCAAAATTTTTCTAGATTGCACCCCCTTACCGGAGTGAGTTGCACCCTCAAAAGTTGAATAGGGAAACTGGGTCGAGTGGTACCTTGTTTGAGAGGTATTTGAGATGACTTTACAGATCTGTAATTTTTTTCGAAATCTGACTACTAGTTTTTAAGATAGTCGCCTCGGAAGTTGCCATGGGGCGAAAAGAGAACGTGTTTTTCGTACATTTCTACAAGAAAAAATTGAAATTCCTGAAACACGTCAATTTTGTTTATTTTGAACCTTTGTTTTTTTGTCAGTTTGAACCTTTTGAACAACCTTTCAAACATGACTCACTTTTAATTTTTTCACGAAAAACACGTTCTCTTTTCGCTCCATGGCAACTTCCGACGCGAATATCTTGAAAACTAGAAGTCAGATTTCGAAATAAATTACAGATCTGTAAAGTCATCTCAAATCAGTGGCGTAGCGCTACTACTGCGAACCCCCGCTATAGCGGGGGGGCCCAGGCCCAAGGGGGGCCCGAAAGCTCCGAGGCCCGAAAAACAGCCTATTGCTTTGGCCCCGAAGAGGCCGAAGTCCTGGCCTGCTAATCCTGCTATACTCAATTGAAAAAAACAATTAAATAATAAAAAATCTCTTGGCCTCTTTGTCTTGAAGTCAGCCGAAAAACCAGCAGCTATTCTTTTTACTGTGCACGAGGACGAGAAAAGGAAAACTCATTTAGACGAGGCGACAAAATATTTTAGAATTATTATAAAAAGGTTTTTTTACACATTAAGCGATCTTTAAATGCGTTTTTCAATTGATATGAGTATAGCCAAAGTTTACAGAATAAAAATATAAGTTGCCGCACTCGATCAAAAGTTTAGATTCGTATGTCCCCAAGTTCTGATAACTTCGTCTGAAAAAGAATTATTTATGTCTGCAGAAACACTACAGCAGACATATTCTAGCGATCTGTCTGCGTCTTTTCCTTTAGAGATAGTGGCTTTGTGTATGCCGTTAAAGGAAAACATTGTTTCCCTTCAAACTATTAAAGACTTTGCTGTGTTTTTAATTGTGGAAAATAAAACTTTATCATCAAATTTTCCGGATGTAACCAAACAGCCTTATCATTACTTTTAACTCTTCCAGTGAGTGTTGCTACAGCTGAAAGATCCTTTTCAAAATTAAAAATAATTAAAGATTATTCACGAAATAGTTCCTCTCCAACATGGTTAACTAACTTGGCTATACTGTCCATAGAGGCACAAGAGGCGGCCAAAATGGCCATCTAATAAAAAATTTTGCAGAGGCAAAAGCCAGAAAAAAACAGTTTACCACCTGAAAGCGACAATGAGATAACGGCTGGAATTTAAATGTCGAGTGTCAGATTGGTGATGCTCGGTTTCTGCTTGTATACCTATGTTTTTAGGTCTATTCGCACAGAAATCACAAACCAGTCAGTGAATTTCATTGGTTGAAACTAGTTTTGTGACTGTTCTTGACTGTTCTCAAATAATGAAATTCGCTTTGATTGGTTTGTGATTGCTGTGCGAACAGGCCTAATAATTCAACAGAAGTCGTGTTCGTTTTTGTCATCTCGTCGATTTGCTCCGAAATTTTGACAGGCACGTGATTTGTAAATTGAAACTGTCTGATCCAGCGATCCAGCCACATGCCTGTCAAAATTTCGGAGCAAATTGACGGAAAAGATTACAAAAACAAGCACGGCCCGACTTGAAAAAGATGACAATGTCATCAAAACGTCGCATTTAGAAATAAAAGGTCGTAGCTATAGACTGTGTCCTTGCTTGCCATTACCTTCTTTTTGCATTCAAGTTTTTGTCGCCTAATTTTAAATAATTTTCCTTTATCTCACTTGCTTTTAGGTATTTAGTATCGGTACCTCAGCTAGGTACCTAAAGATTTTTTTGGTTTTGTCCCTTTTAGTTTTAGAGAATCCTTTTTATTTTGTTCTTGTTCCTTGTTCAATAATAACATTTGTTGTAACGTTCTCTACTATTATCGTGTATTGTATATTCTTCGGTGTTTTCATGAGCATTTTCGGCATTTAAGTTAAATTTTATATTAGGTTAGTAGTTCAAATAATAAAAATAATCAGTATTCCCTAATGTTGTTTGGTAAAAAAACTTTTTATAAATTTTTAGTATAGGGGTGGGGGCCTTAGCTCAATTTTCGCGGGGGGGGGGGGGCATAATTTGTCGCTACGCCACTGTCTCAAATACCTCTTAAACAAGGTACCACTCGACCCAAAAGTTGAATAGGAAATTCAACTTTTGAGGGTACAACTCACTCCGGTAAGGGGGTGCAATTTAGGAAAATTTTGAAATAGCCAAAAAGTGTCCCCCGTGCAAACAAAATCGACGTGCTTCGGCGTTTTTTTTAATTTCCTGATAATTTTCGAGAAAATCCAGGTGGATCCTTTTTAATTTTCCACTCTGTATAAATTCGGATTCCCGCATTAGTGTAGAATAAACAAAATTAATAAATTTCAGAGAAATGCTTTTTGTATTGGGGTTTAAAACCTGTTAAGTATTGAATCGACAAACTTAGCCATTAACAAAAATGTAAAATATTTAGGTCACCTTTGTAACAAGTTGAAACCAATGATCTAATATCACTAGACGGAGCATCTTATTCGATAAAATAAAAGGAAAGGCGATGTGCAAAGTGCCTGCCGGCCGTGGTGGGGATAAATTGTCCATCCCGTCTTCCTAATGAAAGTGTGACTTATATATTTATCTATCTCATTTTTATGGTCTGAAAACAATTTGATCAAAGTAATAAGGAGTTGGTAGATATGTATTTGTGTTAAATAATTTTAAACTTTTAATGTAAGCATTATTTTTGAAGGTACATACTTTGTCCTTCGTTGGTTCTATCCAAAGAAGCAAGTATTTTTTCTACATTACCGCAAACCTATTTCTGATTTCTGTGGTCTGATTGTTACTTGAAAGTTACCTTAGTGCTGATTCAACGAGCTTTCTTATACGATACTTGCATCAATTTTTTTTATCGCTGATTTCGTTAGTCTATAAAAATAGGTCAACACGTGTTTTTTCTTTTTCTTCTTAGTCAAAAATTGACGGAGATACAACGCTATGAAATGTGCTTATGACGTCATAAATCATATAACTTTATGACGTCGCACATGCTCAGTATATCTATATACATATACAAAACCTAATATTTGTATAACTTTCGAAATAATCATATTTGGACAAAATAAAAAAATACGTATCGATTTCAAGGAGTACGTTTCCGGATCGAGCCCTTCCATGCAGCCGAGTGAACCAATCAGAACAATGAGTTCATAGATTTCTTTTTAGTCTGGAATGTGCTGGCAATCAGACCAACTTTCCTTGAGACCTTGGAAGTTGTGCCCAAGTATTTTTAGTTTTGTGTCTTGGACCAGTCTAAAAAGTTCGGCTGTGTGAATTCGTCTGAAGCCTGTCCATAGGTCGATTCTGTCGTCGGTAAGTTTGGATATTTTCATCAAATTATATAACTTCTAACAGCAATCCTCGTTTATCTAGGAGTAAGTTCGTCTTTTACCTCCTGTTTAGGAGTATAATACGTTCAGCTAGGTCTAGAGTTGCCTCATTAGAGGTAAGCATTTTCATAAACTTATTAGCTCGAGCAGGAGTCTCACACGAATAGTTTTATAGGGCTCTTGGACATGGGTACTCTAGGGCGTCCTCTAGGATATTTTCTAGCTAGGACATATTCCAAGTAAACTTTAGGTAATGCTCAAGTAACTCAGGTTCACCCAGGTTTTCTCCAGGCTCCAGAAGACTCATAGAACTGACTATAGTCAGGTAAATTCAACACCTAACTAACCATTGCAGGCCATGTGTTGTGCCTACCTGGGAGAGCAACTTGGACCTTTGGCTGCTGCTAGTAAAGCTTACCGGCTCGGTAAATTATTTCATCGAAGTTTTTATTACCATACCGACATCGATCGGGATACAGCTACAGAAAAACTTCACTTGGTTTTGATCAACATTCATTTAGCAACAGTTTTTTCAATTCACTTAAGAAAACTAGGTAAACTAACTAGGTACATATACAGGGTGTTCCACGAGGTTTTACCCAGGTGATAACTTGGGAACGCGTCATCGTATGTTCCACTTTGTAATTTTCTATCATTTTTTTTCACAAAGTCTTAACAAATATGGCATTGCCGATTTTTTAATTTCATTTTCTAACGAAAAATGCCATAATATACCATCAATTAAATTAAGATCATAAAGTTGCCGTCACTTGACCGAAACTGAAGCGAAAGTGGTGAAATTAGATGACACATGTAGAAGCGGCACAAAAATTTACCCAGATCCTCGAAATTTCAATTATATTGGATGAAGCTTTCCGAAGTTATCACCTGGGAAAACGTCGTGGGACACCCTACACCCTGCATATTATAACTTCAACAGTTCATCAATGACTACAAATTTTGTGGTTCTCGTTGTTTATTAGGATTTCAATTTTCAGTCTCTTTATTTGTCCATTGAATTCATTTAATAATTCAATAAAGTCCATACATGAATTATTATTTCATTGCTAAGCTCTCCACATTGCATAATTTGTTTGTAAGACCAAATAGTGAATTTCTTCGTAAAGATATAAAGGATGGATCAGAGACGTTATCAACACATATTTTTGTTCACAGTCCCGTCTATATCTGTGATATTAGGCCATTGGTTGAAGCAAGTTAGCGCAGTATTTTTTCCTATAATATATATTAATATTTTTTAGATTTGTTGAGTTACTTTTACGCCTACTGGTATGCAACAATGAAAAATTTGGTCCTCAAATTCAGAAGCATGTTAAAGAACTTATAGGTCACGAAATGGCCGCAGCACTATATCCGATTCTTTTTGAGCAAATAAAAATTATTATCGACAAATTCTTTGATCAAAGTGGACAAGTGATGGTTACAGATTTAAATACCCAATTTATAGAACATATAATTGTCATACTAAAAAATATTTTGGATTATACAAAAAATGATCAGCCTTCGGAACATCTTGGAGTCACCAGTATAGAGGGCATGATGTTGCAAATAGTAAGATATGTCAGACATCTGGATATGTCAGTACATGGTCTTCATATTAAAACAAAATTGTGTCAGTTAGTTGAGGTTATGATGCTTAGAAGGGATGACTTAGCATTTCGACAAGAAATGAAATTTAGAAACAAACTTGTAGAATATCTGACGGATTGGGTCATGGGCTCTAGTCATCAGATCTCACCACCAAGTGGCAACGATATAACACACATGACCAGAGAATTGGATCAATCAGCTATGCAAGCTGTGGCTTCACTTTTAAGAGGCCTTCCCTTGCAACCTGAAGAATCTGACAGAGGTGATCTTATGGAAGCCAAGAGTCAGTTATTTCTCAAGTATTTTACCTTGTTCATGAATTTGCTGAACGATTGTGCAGACCCTTTGAGTGGCTCGGAAATTTTGGAATTGTCAGACACTGAGGAATGTAGGCATCGTTTGAATTCGGAAAATTTATCCAATTTACGTAGTGCTACAATACAAGCAATGTCTAATCTTTTGTCAGCTAACATTGATAGTGGGTTGATGCATTCTATTGGTGAGTTTCTATTTTGATATAATAATATATCCTCTCTTAGCTTAAAATGTCAATAACTGTCATTTACTAGGTTTATAAAAACAAGAATTGAGACAGCTTTGCATTTCAATATTATCTACAAAAATTTGTATGATTTTTTATTGATAACTTCTAGTGGAAAGGCGGGTAACCGCGATCAAATATGAAAATGAAATGTATAGAAATATATTATACAACTGTAAATCCACAAAATCCATTTCTTATGTAGTTTTTTGTGATTTCTCATGGGAAAATTTTGCAATTGTATTGAATTTTTTGCATTGATACGAAAAGGTTATACAAAAGTAGGGATATAATAATACCTATTCTAGAACGTCATTTTTCAAAAACAGATTTTCACCAATTAGTTTAATAAACATCATGTTATTTATAGCAAGTCAGCAGTGGATAAGAAGAAGAAGAAACCAAATGACATCTTTTTGGAATTCTGACGCAAGTCGCAGAGACGCACTCATCTTTCTATGATCCAACAAGTTATGGATGGTTTATCACAGGGATACGTTTGAACCTCCATTAGTGGTGCACAAACCTGTAAAGAAATTGGTGAAACATATTTCACTTTTTAGTAATGAAAACACAATCGAAAACAGCGATGATGAACTGGTTGATTTAAATGTGTTTTTGAAAAGTCACGTTTACTAGAACATTATACTCGTAATTTTTATTGCGTGTGTATCAACACCAATTTAAAAAAGAAAAAAAAATACTTCAAGTCTGTTAAATAACGTTTTTTTGAAAAATTAGGTCAATTTATCACTGTGAGAAGGTCATCTTACTTTTAGTGGCAATTTCTCTTCTACTTTATACCTCCACTCACATCCATAATGATTTCAACTATTCTTCTACATCTCCTTACTACCGGCAGTACTATACCTTTCAGGGTCGTTAGAACCATTTCTTTTCTGCTCTAGATCTATGTTCTTCGTCGTACTCGATACTTTTCATCCTCCCATCTATCGATACGCTTATCAATTCTAGGCCTGCCAGATAAATCTCCAGGTCTACTCTCACGCATGCGTGGCCCTTTTTCCCATGGACTAACGTCACGGGATTTAGTAGAATAGCCACATGTTCCGTGTTGACTGTCATGCTGCCAGCCGTCTTGTGTGCTCCTGCGCTAACGGTCATAGTACTCTTTCCGTATATCCCTCATCGATGGAATCTGTAGAGCGTCTCTTCGAAGGATAATATTGATCTTCTGGATCAGCAGTCATATCTCACCAATCTTCCTGTTCCGGTTTTTCTTTCTACGCTCGCCGGAGTTTTCTTTCCTCCAGTTTTTTAACGATCTTTTGTCGGTTTTCTTTAGATCCAAAAATGGTATGATACCACTATCTTCTAATTGATCTATTCTAAGCTGTTCGGATCTCCGGTCTTGATCCTTTTCAAATTGGAGGCTCCTTACAGGAACTTTTTGACGCTGATCAATTTTAAGGCAGTTCCTGTATTGAACTGGACATGGTCGGCTGGATAAAGTGTCTGTGTTGTTATGCAGTTTACCAGAACGACAATTAATTTGAAAATCGTACTGTTGCAACTTCTTCATAAAAGGCTTAGAGCCATCAGTAGGAGAGCCAGATCTCAGCCTTACTCAACATCACGTTTAAAATTTCATCTTCTTCCGCAGCGATAACGTTCCTACTTCTTGAAAACTTAAATTTTAATAAAGAACGCTGAATATAATTTTTGACCGAGAGTAGTTCAACAAATTGATAAAAACACAGCCTAATAAATTTGCAATAATTATGGCCTTCTTTTCATCTCTGGCAACTCTCAGGGTTAAAAAATGTCAAGTTGGCATATATTTTAAAAAGGATCACATACGCATTTACATTCTCTTTTTTTTATTTTTAGATCTAGGATACAACAAAGATCTACAAACACGGGCCGCATTCATTGAAGTCTTAACCAAAATTCTGCAACAAGGTACTGAATTTGATACTCTTGCCGAGACCGTTTTGGCTGACAGATTTGAACAGTTGGTACAATTGGTAACAATGATAAGTGACAAAGGCGAGTTACCTATAGCTGTAGCTTTAGCTAACGTTGTAACTACAACACAGATGGACGAATTAGCCAGAGTATTTGTAACATTATTTGACGCAAAACATCTTTTGTCACCTTTATTGTGGAATATGTTTTACAGAGAAGTAGAAATATCAGATTGTATGCAAACTTTATTTAGGGGCAACTCTTTGGGAAGTAAAATCATGGCATTTTGTTTTAAAATTTATGGGGCTAGTTACCTACAGACGCTTTTAGAGCCATTAATACAACCATTACTCGATGATCCTTTTCAAAGTTTTGAAGTGGATCCTGCTAGATTGGATGCTAGTGAAGATATTGAAGAAAATAGACAGAATCTCATTGCATTAACGCAAAAAGTATTTGACGCAATAGTTTGTTCCGCTGATCGGTTTCCACCTCAGCTGAGATCAATGTGTCATTGTCTTTATCAAGTATTAAGTAAGCGTTTTCCTCAGTTTCCACAAAATAATATTGGTGCAGTTGGAACGGTAATTTTTTTAAGATTTATAAATCCAGCAATTGTTTCACCACATGAAATGGGCATTGTTAGCGATCAGGTGCCAACAAATATAAGAAGAGGTTTGATGTTAATGTCCAAAATACTGCAGAATATAGCAAACCATGTAGAATTTAGCAAAGAGCAGCACATGTTGCCATTTAACGATTTCTTGAAAAGTCACTTTGAAACTGGTAGAAGATTTTTCATCACCATAGCCTCAGATTGTGAAACAGTTGACCAAGCTTCTCATTCAATGTCTTTTATATCTGATGCAAATGTTCTGGCGTTACATCGCTTATTGTGGAATCATCAAGAAAAAATCGGAGACTATCTTTCCAGCAGCCGAGATCATAGATCAGTGGGAAGGCGTCCTTTTGATAAAATGGCTACTTTATTAGCTTATCTTGGTCCTCCTGAACACAAAACATTCGATTCACAGTAAGTAGTGAAAGTTAAAGGAATATTTATTTGTTTAATTATCAATAAGTTATGTAAATTCTAGCTTGCTGTTCACAGCTAACCCAAGATGGCGTTCACTGGATATGTCTTCAACTAACTTTGAAGATCTTATGACCAGACATAACATCGATGAAAAGGAAGAATTTAAATCTATAAAATCCTTAAATATTTTTTACCAAGCTGGTACAAGCAAAGCGGGTTTGCCAGTATTTTATTACATTGCCAGGAGATTTAAGTAATATTTAAAAAAATCCTTATTGATTTTAACTCTAATTTATTTGTAAACTAAACTATTTTAGGATGGGCGAAACTAACGGTGATTTGTTGATATATCACGTCATTTTAACTTTAAAACCATTTTGTCATTCCCCATTTGAGCTGGTGGTTGATTTTACTCGAACCGGTTCTGAGAATAGGTTTAGGATTGAGTGCTTACAGGGGTGGTTCTACCTCTTACCAGAAGTAGCAATTGAAAACATTCATACTGCGTATGTTTATAATTGTAATAGTTGGGTTCGTGAATATACTAAATATCATGACCGAACTTTATATCCTTTAAAGGTAATTTGGAGTATATGTGATGAAGTTAATGACCTGGAATGTTGATGATGGGCTAAGAAACTTAAGTCATATCGACCCTTTTAAAAAGTGACTTCTGCATTTTGGCCTGATTTTAAGTGCTAAAATAGATAGTACGGATTTTCTCATCAATAGCTAAAGCTCTTATATTTTTATACGTCTTGCACTCACTTGATTTTTGACGTTTTTTTTGCCACATTATAAGTACAAATTTGTAAATGATTTTCATATTTCTGATTTATGGTTATTTGAGTCACCCTTACCGAAAAACATGTTCCCGAAAGGCAGATAGTTTTCAAATAGAGCGTGCACCGAATTTAGTGGAAAACTTATCTGAAATCTTGTTTCCAAAATTCCGGTACTATTTCGAATGGTACGTGTAATACAGTTACGAAACATGCAAGTTACTGATCCAAAGCTTATCTTGCTGAGTTCACCTACATATCGAAGCATAAGTACCGTTACTATATAGGCTTCCCAAACCTGTGCATATATGGAATAAGCAGGTACCATACATGCATAAATGAAAGATCTATTTTTATAAAGGACCCCGCAATATTTAAATGGAAATTGGTTACCCGTGATATTTGGATGAAATTTAAATATGTCATTGGGGATGCCGTAAGCAACATTTTTTACCATGGGCACAACCCTGTATATATGACAGGTGAGGCGTGGTTAGCTGTCAAATATTGGAATCTTATATCCAAAAGCAGAGTAACTATGGCAGATTTTGATGAACAAAAAATCTATTTCTACTAAGTCGACCAAGTTAAGTCGAAAAATGTCAACCATTTTGACACCTGCCAAAACCCTGTCAAACGGCGGCACTCATCTTTTCCCGTTTTCCATATTTTATGATGTCATTTGATATTTTTTACTTGTATGTAAATTGTAAATTCTGAATTCGAAAATTGAAAAAAAAAATGACAGAACTGTCAAAACCTGTCATTTGTTTTAGTAGAAAAAAATACTCTAATCTGGTTCTTTTTTGTTTCAAGGTAGTTTAGCGGTGATAAAACATTAAACAAAGTTCATGCATGTCACATTTTGACAACTGTCAGAATCTGTTAATAGATTTTTGGTTCATATTGAGTTTGTTCGCTTAGTGAAGGTTTAGTTCTATTGTATTATTGTATTATTCTATCATTATAGTTGTAGAACTTCACTAAGCAAACAAACTCAATATGTATGAACCGAAAAGCAAAAACAGATTCTGACAGTTGTCAAAATGTGACATGCATGAACTTTGTTTAACGTTTTATCACCAATAAACTACTTTCAAACAAAAAAGAATCAGATTAGAGTATTTTTCTCCACTAAAACAAATGACAGGTTTTGACATTTCTGTAATTTTTTTTCAATTTTTGAATTCAGAATTTACATACAAGTTAAAAGTGTCAAATGACATCATGAAATATTGAAAACTGGAAAAGATGAGTGCCGCAGTTTGACAGGTGTCAAAATGGTTGACATTTTTCGATTTAACTTGGTCGACTTAGTAGAAATAGATTTTTTGTTCATCAAAATCTGCCATAGTTACTCTGCTTTTGGATATAAGATTCCAATATTTGACAGCTAACCACGCCTCACCTGTCATATATACAGAGTTGTGCCCATGATAAAAAATGTTGCTTACGGCATCCCCAATAACATATTTAAATTTCATCCAAATATCACGGGTAACCAATTTCCATTTAAATATTGCGGGGTCCTTTCAAATAAAGTATGCTAAAAAAATATCAAAGATCAAATTTGCTCGAGAAATGGAAGTGTCTAAACTTAGAGGAAACGACTTCTTATAGGCTTAACACTTGTTTGCTTTTATTTACCTTGATTTAATGGAAGTTGGTTCGGATATTCCTAACTAGCCATGACATCCCAAGTGTGTGAGCATTGCCCAGACTTACTAATTTATAAACGTATTTTTCATCTTCTTCTCTTTGTATGCTTACGCCCCAAAAATTTTAGGGAAACCGCAAAATAATATTTCTGGACCATCCTTCAAAAATAAATGACTACATTGACCCCGACCAGCAAAAGCTACCAGGCGCTACCCTGAGCTTAGACGAAGATTTAAAAGTTTTTCATAACGCATTAAAATTGTCTCATAAAGATACCAAAGTAGCTATAAAAGTGGGACCTACGGCTATACAGATAACTTCAGCAGAAAGAACTAAAGTTCTTGCACATTCAGTTTATCTGAATGACGTATACTATGCATCCGAAATTGAAGAAGTATGTTTGGTTGACGATAATCAATTTACGTTAACTATAGCTCATGAAAGTGGCCCTTTGAGCTTCATCCATAATGACTGTGATGCTATTGTGCAGGCTATTATCCACATAAGAAATAGATGGGAGCTTAGTCAGCCTGTAAGTATTTTTGTCAAAACTATTTTACTTATTCATTTCTGCGTTTATTGCTGCTTCTGGTAACATGTAGGGCTATCAATGGAAGCATATCAAACCCAAACTAATTTTCTTTTCAGGTTTTTGTGAATATATCAACCTAAATCTACATTGATCATAGGATAAAATTATAGATCTACTGTGTGTATTTTTCTCTGTGGTATGGCCCAATAAGTGTTATAATAAAAATAATAAAACAAAGCCAGTTTCAGTCAGGCTTCTCGTTCAGGTGATATTTTTTTGATTTTATCAGCATCATTCTAACATTCCACACATCATAGAAGGAACAAATCGACCCACTTCAATTTATTGTGAAATTTTGTCTTGCATTCATTGTCAAGATTAGCTTCTCAAGCATTAATTTCTCTTTGTAGAATATACCTATTTCTATATCTTATTTATTTGATCATGTTCGCGATAATTCTGTCCTTTTTCTCTGTAGGATTAACTTAGGAGTCGATTCCAAGGGTCGGACATAGATTTATTTGGTTATTTGAATACCGCATCATCACTACACTACTGCATTTCATGCCCTACAGAATTTAGTACCTTTAGTATTCGCAGACTTTTAGAAGCAGGGACAATACCGCAGTTTTTTTTATCGATTTGTTTTTATGAATGAAACAATATATGAACCGCCAAATGAATGAATAATTCAAGATTTCACAAATCCGAAATAGTGTTTGCAGTGTAATGAAAATATTTTACACAAAACCTATAAAATTGCTAGAGAGACAATAAAAAAGAGTGATCTATGTCGCGCAACAACACTGGCAAATTTCAAATAAATGAAACTTGTTCTGCCTCTTTTTTCCTATGTAATATGCATATGTTTCGTTTTTATGTTCCAGACGTCTTAATATCAAGTTCTCTTGAGTAGATTCGCCCAAACCAGATCAGATAGTATTTAATTAATTTCAAGCAGATACTTGGAGTTTCAGGTGGAAACAATACCTTGAAAAATATTATAATTTTCCTATGATTAAATGTATTTTTTTCCAGCTATTTTTTGAGGTAGAAGGTATAGGTACACCAGAAAAAATATAGCATATTCAAAATTTCAGGATACTGTAACGGTCCACCAAAAAATACGACCAAAAGATGTACCAGGAACTTTATTGAACATGGCGCTGTTAAACCTAGGAGTACACGATCCGATGCTGCGAACGGCAGCCTATAACTTACTTTGTGCTTTAACTGCAACATTTGACCTAAAGATTGAAGGGCAGCTTCTAGAAACACAAGGATTATGTATACCATCCAATAATACTTTATTTATTAAATTGATATCAGAAAAATTAGCAACAAATGAGCCACATTTAACTTTGGAATTTCTTGAAGAATGCATTCAAGGGTTTAGAGTGTCAAGTATAGAACTAAAACATTTGTGTCTTGAGTATATGACACCTTGGTTGCCAAACTTAGTCAAATTTTGCAAACCTACTGATGATTATAAAAGATATAAGAAAGTGGGAGAAATTTTGGAGAAACTTATTGTACTAACAATAAAAGAAACAGAAATGTATCCATCAGTTCAAGCTAAAATTTGGGGAACTCTAGGGCAAGTTCCAGATCTAATTGATATTATATTGGACACGTTTCTGAGTTGCTCAGCAAGTGATGGCCATAGCCCTCTTATGGTAGAAGTGATAGCGGATACTTCTGTGGCCCTGGCATCAGCTAATATCCAACTTGTTGCTAAGAAAACAATCGCGAGATTTTTCAAGGTTATTCGTAATTTAACTACGTTGCAAATAGAGGTAAGAAACTTGAAATCTGCATGAAAACTTTCTTCCGTTAATTTATCAAAATCTAGAAGATACATTCTGGAGCAAGACTAATAATAATCTCGATTTTCTTTCCTACTAGACATATCAAGATTTTTTTCCTGAAATTAATAGATATCGAATGATAGACTTCTTAAATAATCTGCATTTTTCACTCGCAAATGTTCTATACACGTGCAAAAAAAAAATCCAATTCCAACGCTACTTTTGACATTTTTAGGTTTTTTTACTCAGTGCAGATTAAACTCAAATACAACAGTTTTGTCCCTGTAGCTCAAATTATTGAAAGGCATTATCCTAAAAAAAATTCTTATTTTATTAATCGCGCATGAAAGCCTGGTTTTAAATGAAGGTTGCAGCACCAACGCAGCTTGCAGCGTATATGAGTCGAGAAGCTCGGTTAAAAAATCTCTTTGTTCTGTTTATTTTTAACTTTGAAAGTTCGGACAAAAATGCTAATTTGGGTATTTTACAATAATTCACGTTAGTTTTGCGTTTAAATTGCGCGCCTGCGCCAAGATTGACATATCGTGGGAGAAGCAACCGTCCGTAAGGCCGTGTTTATGTTGGAGCTGTGATAAACGATAAAAGCAACGATACTAATGATACTATACATTAGTATCGTTGCTTTTATCGTTTATCACAGCTCCAACGTAAACACGACCTAACACGAAAAAATGACAAACGGATTATCCGGAAAATTCTAAATTTTTTTATAGAGTTCCACTTGGAAACGTGAGTGATACACAAATAGTGGCTTCATTACTGGTTTTGACATCGAAACACGAGTTCACAAACGGATTTTCTGAAAAATTTTAATACCTTTTATAGAATTCCATTTCGAAACAATGAGAAAGAAAAGTGACATGAATACTGGTTTCGACATCGAAAAAGAAGTCTTCAGAGTGATTTTTCTAGAACAGTTCATCGTGTTCTATTTAGAAATTTGACTTCGCCACAGATCTTTAAATTTAAAAACAAATTTCAAGAAAGATAGGCGCAGAGTATTCTATGTTTAATACACTTCAGGAAAGAGGAAGACCGAAGACAAAAACAAGAAGACCAAAGACATAGAGAAAAACAAGAAGGGAAGACGAAGCAAAATAGAATAGGACTGCCTGGCACTTTCACAACAAAAAGTAGACCAAAAAACAGAAAAAAAAAACAAGAAGAATAGGACCAAAGAAAGGAAGAAAGACAAGAAAGGAATCCCAAAGACGAAGAGAAAAACAAGTGAATAGGAGCAGCTTCAAGAAAATTTAAAATTGCAGCGAGAATGGATGCAAACTGTAATCTGAGGAACAAACCAGACGGGAGAAAATCATGGAAGGGTGAAAAATAAATTCAAGAATGTAATGGCTGAAGTACGTGAAGAATTTGGGACTGTTCGTCAGGAAGTTGGAAGTGTTCATCAAGAAGTTGGAAGTGTTCATCAGAAAATTGAAACTCTTCCTCAGGAAAATGGAACTTTCCACCAAGATATGAATTGCGTGCTCACAATTAAATTAGAAAGTTGGAAAATGAATTGAGGCAAGGAAATATCTCAGTTTCGCCTGCAACCGGTATTAAACTTAAGCCACCATCATCATCATACGACGGAGAGCGGGCTGTGTGGGTACAGACGTCAGTTCGAGACTGTTGCGATGGTTAATGGTTGGAGCTCCGATTACATGGCTACAGGCCTGATTGTAGCATTGCGTGGCCGTGCCTTAGACCTACTATAGACTCTTTCGCCAGCCTTCCAATAAAACTATGGCGCGCTTGTTAGAGCTGCGTTATGGCGATTTACCAGGTACATCATCATTATACGACGGAGAGTGGGCTGTGTGGGTACAGACGTCAGTTCGAGACTGTTGCGATGGTTAATGGTTGGAGCTCCGATTACATGGCTACAGGCCTGATTGTAGCATTGCGTGGCCGTGCCTTAGACCTACTATAGACTCTTTCGCCAGCCTTCCAATAAAAGTATGGCGCGCTTGTTAGAGCTGCGTTATGGCGATTTACCAGGTACAGCTAAGAACACAACAAAAAAAGCTTCAGTTCGGAAAGCTTAGAAGAATTTGAAACCGATATTCGCCGCCTCAGAACCAAAGTTTATCAGAACGAAACCCCAATAGGAGAAATTATTAAGGACTTCATGAAACAACTACTGAAAAAATTACGGAGGTTGTTACCAGACTCAAACAGGGAAGCTTGAAAGGGTGCCTTAAATGTTACAGCTGCAGAAGAAGAGGGCATTTGAAACGTGAATATACAGTATGATTGTGATCTCGCTTTCTTCCCAATGACTCAGCCTTCAATGGATATTTATTTTAAAACGAGGGCGCCGAATGTTACCGCTGCGGATGAACGCGACATTTCTTTCCAAACGTGATTGTAGAGTACAACTCCGATCTCGCTCTCCTTCTGATGAATGTCAGCTTTCGATTGAGAAGTTCCAACGGTATGATTTTCTGAACCAACATCGCGCTGGCAAACTGCACAAAGACACAAATGCCTTATCCGATCGCGCATGCCCAGATTAAGCCGAGAAGTGTCTCAGAATTGATCCGCGTGATCAAGTTCCTGTTAGAAGCTTTCGATCTGATGCAGATCAAGAACGGAGCTTTGAACAGCTGGTAAGTAATCGATTGGAGAAGAATGACATCGAATCATTTTTCAACGTTAGGGAAACCGGCGATAGATCAGCAACAAGATGCAGAAAGGAAAAATTTGGCAAGCGAATAAAGAAACCCCAGGAACAAATAGATTGATGAAATACGGCTGCTGCACAAACTATCCTTCAAACAGCCGCTCTACAGATTCTCACGAAAAGGAAGGAATACTACAAGTGCTTCGACCATCCGAGAAGGGCGCGTAACCGCAGGCAAGACGACTGGCAACATGGCAGAGAACAGGTATCGATTCTTTCAGTTCTCGTGAGGTCGGTCCAAGGAAAGGAGAGCCACTCAGACCTGAGGATAGGGTCTAAGGCGCTGCGTTCAGGTCGCAGTCCACTTAGACAGGTAAATGAATAGATGAAATCATTATAGATCTGAGTGGAGGTGTGGATATACAAAAAAAGGCGGTGCGGTGCATCTTAACAGAGTCAAATCGGGACGATCTGATTTGTGAAGGAGGCAGTGCTACGAAATTACATCGACAACCTGGCGAATTCCAGGCACCCAGTCGTTTACATCTAGATCGGGTCTATTCTTCGAGATATTTATTGTATTCGAGAAAGCAAAGGCTTCTAGAATAATCCGGAGAACGATGTCGGCTATAATTAGCGCGCAATTACACAGTTAGAGTCGGTCTAAATAAAGCTTGGTTGTGTTCAGTTTTAAGTAATAGCATAAGAGTGTTGTTGTAGTCAATTTAAACATGATATCACGTTTCAATAGGTGATAAGTAAATTGTTATTGTATAGTCAGTTTGTTCAATAAAAAGTTTTTACTGTCTGTAAAATGAGTTTTAGTGGACGCGGAATCCGTGACAATACGATACCCAGTGAAATTTGATGTAAAAAAAAAGATAACCTTGGCTCCTATCGATATAGTGCTCATCGGTTTCGAAGAAATCGCAAATCATTACTTTGATGCACGCACAAATTTCATCATTTCAGTAAAAACCGCTTGAAAATAATTGAGGAAAAACGGTCTTCAGGGTGCCGTATTTTACGGATCGTAGCTCTCCTAGGAAGCATTTTTCGACAAATGTCTATATGAACTTTTCTTCATAAAAATACCTCAGAAATGGGGCTAGCCTAATAGGATCTAGTGCTTAGTTTTTGAGAATGAGCTAGCCCAGCTTAAACCTAAAAGATGCATTGGCAACATCTTTTTTTTTTTAATCGCATATTCAATCCTGGAATATTACTTGGCCAGAATTTTTTTGAAACTCAATACATAATTACAGATTCCCAAAAATAAAATGCTAGTTTCACTAAACCTGTTATCACTTGGTTCATTTATTAAAATCTGAAGACTGAACCATTTTATTTTAGCACACCAAATGACTGCCAACAAAGTAATATTGATATTTTTAGCATGAATATTTTTTTTCCGGAAGCCCCTACCATTTTGCGGAATATAAAATACATTATAATTCTTTCTTCTTTTAGGTTCAAGAAGGTGTAGCACCAATCACAGCTTTAGAAAATAATCCAATGTGGGACGACTTGACAGTCTTGGCTCGATACATGCTTATGTTATCCTTTAATAATTGCCTAGATGTGGTGCGGCATTTACCCTATCTTTTTCATACAGCAACATTTTTGATATGCGCTGGATCAATCAACATGAGGGCTGCTACACACGGTCTTATCATGAACATTATTCATTCGCTTTGCACCTGCACTAAACCGCGTTTTTCTGAGGAAGTTCAAAAGTTTTTACGACTCTCATTGGATGAATTTGCTTTACCTAAGTATTACGTGCTGTTTGGGATAAGTAAAATAAAAAGTGCTGCCGTGACAGCCTTTAGATTGGGTATTAAACATCCAGGAGATTCACGTTTTGTTATTGCATATGACAAAGCAGCTGGACAACAGTGTCATCATCAAGTTTGCGGTCATTCGTGTCAAGTTGCGCAAACAGTAACTACTAGTACTACAACACCTACTGCTCCAACTTCGCATTATGAAAAAGATAAGATGGCTAATTCAGCCGCAGTTCAGGAAAGAGAAAGGGTATCACTTGGATCATTAGAAGTAATAAGTGATGCTCTGCTGGAAATACTTGAAGCATGCATGAAAGAAGTTGACGATTGTGATTGGCTAAATCAATGGATTGTATTGGCAAGAAGTCTAGCTTATTGCTACAATCCTGCTTTACAACCCAGAGCACTTATAGTTTTTGGTTGCATTGCCAAAAATGTCACAGATTCTGAAGTTGTCCAAATTATGCGTACAATGATTAAATCTCTGGAATCTTGGAATGATATTATACTATTGGAAGCTTCGATTATGTGTTTGACACGATTACAACCTGTATTATGTTCTGACTCGCCTATTCATAAATCAATATTTTGGGTTGCTGTGTCAGTTTTGCAATTGAATGAAACAAATTTATATGCTGTAGGATTAGCTTTATTGGAACAAAACCTCCATACGCTGGACTCTCAGGGAACTTTTGATGAAAACGTGAGTTTTTAATACTATATATTTACTAAAGTAATGTGAAAAGATGTCTCGGCGATATCAAGGAGGAACCAAAATGATTTAATTTTCGTTGAAGTTTATCGTAGTTTATCATGTCTTGAGAGCTTGAACATCGAATACTGAGTATCTCCATCTTAACCTGTTTCAAAGTATCACAGTTATGTTGAGTAATGCACAAACACGTTCAAACTGTGCCAATTTCGAATTTCTGGTTCCAATACTAATTGTTTCACTTTCAAGTCTATTCCAGTTGTATCACCCCGTTTGTCAAGACATTACTTTTTTCTCTCAGCTTGTTAAATTTAACTTTGGTAACTAGTAGTTATCATCATAGGCATTCCCTCGCTACCGAGTACTATAAGAATCTTGACAGCGTAATTGTCTGTGGGTTTTTTGATGGCTACGTAAGCCTATTCTGGATCCACAATTTCTCATCCATTGAATGCACACACGTTTTCGTTCGAGCCTTGATGGATGCTTTATCGCTATACGGGTCTATTCAGAGCGGTAGTCACATTATCTGATACGCTTACATGTTTGTCTTGAGTACAGCTATGTATCGTTCCTCGTTCCTCTATGTCGACTTCCTTTGCTGCGTTGGCGATTTAAATTTTTGTGAAATCCTTGGTCTCGGCTCAAAGTCTGTTTAGATTACATAGCTTATAATTAATTCTATAGGAGGTTTTAACGCCCAATGGCGGGTTTTCTCGGACAAATTGAAGTACGGTTCCTACCAATATAGAGAATAAGCTTGTCGCAATGACGTATCACTCCGGATTTTAAGACTTCTACGGGTCCGTTGTTGTTGATGACAGTTACGTTCATGTTGTCATGCATCAAACAAATTATGTTGCTAAATTCAGGCTGACAGTTTTACTCTGTAATTTTTCCTTGAATTTTTATTGCACTGAAGATCATATCTGGGGTCGTATTTTCGAATTCATTCGAGTACATTTCGTACACGAAATTTGACTGACAACAATGAAAATCAAATGAGGAGCATTTTAAATCATATCAAATTTCGTATGCTAGAATATTCGAAAATACGACCCCTGGTTAGGTCTGAAGCCACACTGTGTTTTAGGTGGCTTCGGCCAGAGGAAAAAAATGGTGTGAGCCTAAGACCACACGGCAGAAGTGAAAACTTCAATTAGGCAAAATTAGTAAAATGAAATACGGGTATTTTTTTGTGTTCTATATTCCATGCCCAGGGCCGGTATTCTTGTTCTCGAAAACGCTTACCGCTTTTGAGTCGCCCGGCACTTTTAATGTAAATTCACATTAAAAGTGCGGAGCGACTAAAAAGCGGTGAGCGTTTTCGAGAACGAGAATACCGGCCCTGATTGATCTTCTTGTGTGTCATACTCTAAAGATAAAACAATAGCTTTATGGCCCCCCTACCCTACCTAACTAAAAGGTGGGATGAATACTTTTGACTCAAATCTATTTGCTAAATATTCTTTAGCTTATGTCTGTATGAAACAAGAATTTCTGTCGCATTTACATGAGCACACACACGCTCAAAGAAAAAAAATCTCGGTAATTTCCACACTGTGCCTTTTCGTCTTTCCTAAATATAGTGAAGATATAGGTGTCTCGCACATCTGAGGAAATCGTCTCAGTATTCCATATTTTGGCAATAAAGCTAAGTGTGTTAACATAGCGCCCAGTTGCCTACCGTGAAAATCTCAACAGGGACTCATCCTAACCCAGCAGATTTATTATTCTTTAGTTGGCTGATAGCTTTTACAACATTTTGATGGAAAGGAGACGTCAGTCAGATGGCCTTGAGTGGGTTTCTGAGAGACTTTGTCGGAGGTTTCATCATCTAGGTGTAAATCTCTGTTCGGAAGTTCCTAAAAATGCTTTCTGTCGGGAGTTGATAGAAAATTTGTGAGTAGCTGACTCCCATCTTTAGATCTGAGAAAATTTTGACCTTTTGTAGAGAGATCAAAGGTTGCTTTTGTGGCGCATAAGGCTCTGTTAGGTGTTGTTATCCCAAATGTAGTGACTTAGTTGTTAATATAGGTATTATTATTTTTATTTATCAGTGCTTCTTTAAGATTGAATATGCTTTGAGTTTTCACGAAGTTCTTATTTTACAGCCTTTGGAGCAAGTTATGATGTTGACAAGAGATCCATTGGAATCATATTTCAAACAGATGGACCACAATGTTGGTTTAAGTTTTAGAACAAATTTTCATTTTGCCCTGGTAGGGCATTTGCTCAAGGGATATCGCCATCCCACAGCTACCACTGTATCTAGAACAGTGAGAGTTCTTACAATGCTTTTATCAATTGTTGCCAAACCTAATAGAAGGGATAAATTTGAAGTCACTCCTGAGAGCGTGGCTTATCTAACAGGTTTGATTATTTTATGCTAATTGCTTGACATCTTAAATAATGCTATTTTAGCATTAATTGGTTACTCGGAAGAAGTAAGAAGTAGATGCCACGCTAAACATGCAGTACCAAGGTACATGACTGATTCACTGTCTCAAGATAATTTTCTAATGCAGCCTAATGCGCAAGCTTCAACGTCTCAGCAACAAGTTACCTCCACCTCAGCTAGCAATGTATTTAGTAGTAGTGCTAGCAGAAAACAAAAATCTTGCGACTTGCTTGATCAGTCTGTTCTCATACAGGCTCGACAAAATAAACCGCCAGATAGTACTCAGCATCAGGTATGTAAATTTTAGCTTATTGTTTTATGTATTGGTAATTTCTGGTTACTTGATTCTATTTTATGGTTATTATTGTGGTTTTGTGTATTTATTTGTTATATTCCCTTAAATTATGTGTAGCGTAGTTTAATTATTTTAAAAAATTACACGCATTTATCCCATTTTCAAAATGTTTTGGTTTTCATCAATTTGCGATTGGGATTTGGGACATTAAATTTATGTTGACGATTGGTTTTTTTAATGATAATTTATTTATGGTCAGACAATAAATTCTTGCGTATTGTTGTAAATCCCCGTCAGAAAAATGGATTCATTACGCCAATTTGGACACGTAATTAATTCAATGATATGGAAGAAACAGAATTTTCAAAGAGCTGAAAATTGGATGCATCAAAATTTTCTGCGTTTTCATTTGAATGTTATCTTTTGATTATTTACTTTTTTTGGTAATTTTTTTATTCTTTAGTTATACTTATCACTTATCATTGCTAATTTTGATATATTATTGGTATTTTTTAAACGAAATAATTGGAAGGTATCACAAAATTATAACTTCCCTAGTTAACGATGCTTGAATAGTTTTTTGTTGAAATTTCAATAAGTAAATCTCTCTAAAAAATTTACTCGTTTAGTACATTGTATTTGACACTTTTTTGAGATTATGCGTCTTCAACACTTTAGAGTTAATTCTGTTGATGTCGGTCTACCAGCAAATATCAACAGTCGAGATTAATGAGGAAATTTCAGGATTTGCCCGTTGAAGTAGAACTATTGCAATTTGTGAGATTTTTTTGGTTCAATAATTTCGCTTAAACATTTAAATTGTAATAACACAAATACCTAACAAACCTTGTAATAATATACAATATTATTCAAAAGCAGCTTTATGTATTTGTGTTATCTGAATTTACTACACTATAGTATTCATCTGAGTGTAAAACAATGGTAAAGTGAACATATAACTACTAACTAGGTTAACCGGGCAAATACAGCAGGTAACAAGGGTTGGCGGAGTCTAGACTTAACACCGAGTACGGGCCTTCAAACCAACACTCTCCTACCCCGAACTTTATTTCGCACCCAGAGATCTAGTTCGGTCCCCATCCAACAGAACTCTGCAAAAGTTTTGATATATACAGATAGTCCACCAGCTGTGCCACAAAACAAAGTAAGCCATTGCCCGAAAGACCGCAATGATTTTTTAAAAATATATATATACATATACATAATTTCGGTTTTTGCACATTCTTCTGCATAGTTAACTTCCCTTCTATCAGTTATTTTTTTTTACATAAGTACCTAACGTTTTGTGTTCACAATAGTTTTTTTTGTAGGTTTGACTCATTTACATCCCCAATTTGAACTAATAAATTTGCTTCTTGATTAGTTTATGTATCTGACGGCTATTTATCTTGAATATCGTACCGATTAAGAAATAATTATATTCTATTACATGGCAGTTTTTACCCAAAGGGTACATGCGATTAGGTATTATCACTTCTAAAGAACTGAACATTTGTCTCAAAAGAATTTCAAAAATTATAAAAGTATCTTAGTTTCAGTAAATTATTGTGAATCCGAAAAACTATTGATTCCTATTTTCCGCTTACGTGTCCTCAAACCAAAATGTATGTGTACCTTCTCTCTCTATTGCCTGTAAATAAATAAATAAATAAATAGGACATTCACTCTTGTATTTGATATTTAGGTGCCGTGGTAAACTATGAAACTAACTACTACGCGCTATTTATAGACGATATCGTACTCCCGGTTTATCTAGAGAAAAGTGTTTATCGAATATAAGAGAATTCCCAGGAGTCAACAACTGAATTCCTGGAATCGGGCCCGGCTCTTGATACAATTTCGTTACCCTGCCTCCCTCTCAGATCGTCCCGATCTGACCATTTATTCTCTTGAATAGAACGTCCAAAATCCTTTACGCTTACTGATTATTCACAGGAGAGTACACCACCTGGTCTTTCTTCGTAACATTATTACTAAAATCTCCAGCAAAATATAGTATAGTTCAATAATTCCCTGTAGATATTCTGGTAATAGTTTTATTAAATATGTATTATTATAAAATAAACTAGCGTACATACGGTTAGGGCACTGACGCATCTTTGTTTTTTTAATGTGGCTGCTTGTATCTGCTGCTGTTTATTAACTGTTGGGGGCCTTTATTTATAAAGTCTGCACGAGCAAACTTCAAAACACAACGTTCATTTTCTGTACCAACCACTAAAGAACAGAACCCCATCAATGGTGATATACCCAAGGTATGATCTTCTGTTTTAGTTTTTTCTTTTCACTTTAGCACCATCTGCTTCTCTTTTTTATTGCAGTCTTTCTATTATCTAATACTCATAGCAAGCTTTACTAGGTTGCACCAATGACATCAAAACACAGATAGACCGAACAATAAACAAAATTTTCGTATGACAACATCTCTCTGTCTCTTTTGGGTCAAATTTTGTCTTGAATCCCTAAATAATATATTTTTCTCCTCTAATTGACATTTTCAATTTTATTTCTGAACTCAATTTGGCAACAGCAGATTATAGCAAAACACCGCCCAGAAGCGGCTTGTTGAATGGCAGGCAGGTGTTGATTGTAGTAGCTACCTATCTTTATTGCAAACAGGGATTATTCATTAGCGTTAAACAAGAAACGACTAACACGATATTGGTACTCCCAGAATAAAGGGCTCGTATCGAATATTTTCAGTTTATTTGTCAATTTGTTATTTTATTTATTCATCCAATTAAATTTCGAGATATATTCACGTGTGGGCGGGGTTTTTTACACCATTTTGAGCAATGATGTCTCCCTACCCCGACCCCGCGAGCAACTCACCTCCCCTGGCCCATGGGTGGTCTTGTCAACACAACAAATAATAGTTTATGAATGGGATGATCCGTCTATCTGTGTTTTGATGTCATTGGGTTGCACCATGCTTGTAAGTGTATAGAATTGCTCACAATATTTAGGAATAAATTCAGATTTATTGCATGGTTTATTTTTGCACGTATTTAGAATGAATTTCCAATTTTATAATGTTCTGTCAAAAAAGGCAATGTAGTTGCTAAATCTATGTTATCATTTGATAAAAATAATCTAATACCATTTTTTATTTATTTTTTTAGTCACGCAGTACCAGAGCATCGGTCAGTAATGAAAACAATGCTCTCCTGGATCCAGAAGTTTTAACAGATTTTGGTACACAAGCTCTTGTATTGACTACACTTGCTACTTTGGCCAAATATAGTACTGGTGAAATAGAGACAAGGACACTGTACAAGTTTTTAGCAGAAGGGGCTACAGTATTTCCGAGAGTGTTTCCAGTTATGTAAGTCTCTATAGTAGATTAGATTAGATTATGTTATGTATAGGGGTGTCTAGGTAATGGACCTCTCTACACTCCGTGATTTATGGGTCACGAATTTACTTCTTATGTGTAGATCAATGATTTTCTCCATGGTTTCAAGCAGAAATGAGGTTAGGCCAGCTGATAGGAATGTAACCTAATAAGTAGCTAGCTTTAAATATTATTGGTAATCGTGCTATAAGTTCTTCTAAGCCTTGTTGTAGCAGGGCTGGGAAGATTCTATTTTCTCCTGGTGATTTGTAGGGCTGAAAATTGTTTATAGCCCATCTAATCGTGTTTGAGGTGAATATTTTTCTGGCCAGACTTTATGTACGGTTAGGTGGGCGCGGCGTGACCGAAGTTCTGGTGGAATTTAGCTCACACTCTAGTTCTACAGAGTTAGAGGACAAATATTCAATAATGTACTCACCTCTTCTCTTGATGTTTGTCTTATCCTATATGGTGTGGTGGAAATTGGCATGACAACCGATTATTAGGTGTTTTTCCATCCTTTTGCAGTAGCTTACGAGTCGTTTAACGACCAAGCATCCTCTTGGTCATGCAGTCTTCGGCACTCGCTGTTCTACTTGGACTTGAGAATATTATTTATTGTGGCTCTCAAACTACTCGGTCCAAGCAGCCAAGACCCTTCCACGAATGTCTGCGAGACATTATCACTAACAATAACTGGGGTCAGTTAAGTTAGCCCCTCCCATATTTCCAAATTCATTAAAACTTATACCATTTTTTTGCACCAATTTTGCACCGTTTTGCACCACCCGAAAAAAAATTGCACCCCCTCAGGAGAGAGACTATATAGAAATGTTACTGGGGGGGCCAAATTACCCATGGCCCCCCCCCACACGCCAAATTTCAATTTAAAATAGCCCAAATTGTTCTCCGAGTTTTGCACCATTTTGCACCATAAATAATAAATTTTGCACCGCAACCCTTAGGCCTCTACAGGGAGTTGAAAGAGAAATAGTTGCCCCCCCCCCCCCCACACGCCAAATTTCAATTTAAAATAGCCCAAATTGTTCTCCGAGTTTTGCACCATTTTGCACCATAAATAATAAATTTTGCACCGCAACCCTTAGGCCTCTACAGGGAGTTGAAAGAGAAATAGTTGGCCCCCCCCACACGCCAAATTTCAATTTAAAATAGCACAAATTGTTCTCCGAGTTTTGCACCATAAATATTCAATTTTGCACCGCAACCCTTAGGCCTCTACAGGGGGTTGAAAGAGAAATAGTTGCCCTCCGCACACACCAAATTTCAATTTAAAATAGCACAAATTGTTCTCAGAGTTTCGCACCATTTTGCACCATAAATATTAAATTTTGCACCGCAACCCTTAGGCCTCTACATGGGGTTGAAAAGAAATAGTTGCCCCCCCCCCCACACGCCAAATTTCAATTTAAAATAGCACAAATTTTTCTCCGAGTTTTGCACCATAAATAAATAATTTTGCACCGCAACCCTTAAGCATCTATAGGGGGTTGAAAGAGAAATCGTGCCAAAGTACCGGTGATGACGTAGCAGCGTGTCATTTCACGCCTTGACTTGCCTTGTCGTAGGGTGTTTGCACCACAAGCTATATATTTACTGGCGTCTGCTTTAATATTCTAAACTGCGCCCGCTGGCGCAAACAGCTGCCGACATAGTTGATGTCGTAGCAACGGTGCTACACCAGATGACCTTGAAACCCAAAAAGAGGCCGATAAGTAATCCCTATGTAGTGTGTATTATCCTTGGGTAAATTCAAGAAGAAATTGTAGGGTTTTCAGCTGTGTTGGAATAAAGTTGATATGTCGCTGAGAAGCACTCAAAGACTAACCAAAAGTAACCCGTCTTTATATTATTATTAGCGAGCTTTGTTCGCGAATCATATTCTGGACCGATTCCGAATCAGTCCAGAACATATTGATGGCCATTTCCGGATGGTTGAATTAGTGCAAAGAAAATGTATTCCTATCTTTTTCTTGAACAAGCTGAAAGAAAGAGATGGAAATACATTCAGTGCGCTATATTAATTGAAATTTGGCGTGTGGGTGGGGGTATCTATTTCTCTTTCAACCCCATGTAGAGGCTTGAGGGTTGCGGTGCAAAATTTAATATTTATGGTGCAAAATGGTGCAAAACTCTGAGAACAATTTGTGCTATTATATAAATTGAAATTTGTCGTGTGGGGGGGGGGCAAATATTTCTCTTTCAACCCCCTGTAGCGGCTTGAGGGTTGCGGTGCAAAATTTAATATTTATGGTGCAAAACTCGGAGAACAATTTATTGTGCTATTTTAAATTGAAGTTTGGCGTGTGGGGGGGGCCAACTATTTCTCTTCAACCCCCTGTAGAGGCCTAAGGGTTGCGGTGCAAAATTTAATATGTATGGTGCAAAATGGTGCAAAACTCGGAGAACAATTTATTGTGCTATTTTAAATTGAAGTTTGGCGTGTGGGGGGGGGCCAACTATTTCTCTTCAACCCCCTGTAGAGGCCTAAGGGTTGCGGTGCAAAATTTAATATTTATGGTGCAAAATGGTGCAAAACTCGGCGAACAATTTGTGCTATTTTAAATTGAAATTTGGCGTGTGGGGGGGGGGGTCCAACTATTTCTCTTTCAACCCCCTGTAGAGGCCTAAGGATTGCGGTGCAAAATTTAATATTTATGTTGCAAAATGGTGCAAAACTCGGAGAACAATTTATGCTATTATAAATTGAAATTTGGCGTGTGGGGGGGCATGGTTAATTTGCCCCCCCCCTCCTCCCCCAGTAATACTTCTATAGTCTCTCTCCTGAGGGGGTGCAAATTTTTTTTCGGGTGGTGCAAAACGGTGCAAAATGGGTGCAAAAAAATGGTATAAGTTTTAATGGATTTGGAAATATGGGGGGGCTAACTTAACTGACCCCAATAACTGTGGTGGTTTTACAGTTTGAGGGCTTCCGAAGAAGCCTTAAATCGGCATCGTTTTGTCTCAGTGCCGGCCCTTGACCACGACACAACGAGTTGGACTGGGGAATGTTTCTTTGACCTTTTTCCATGCAGTCTTTGGTAGTTGAACTGCTTCTCTTGAATGACAAGGGGAAATAATTGTTGTCAGGTTTCTTCTAAATAATGAATTAGTCTTTTTTAATTTCCTCCCTTTTTTTCTTTTTCGGAATTTCATTAATGGAAAGGACTAGAAAAGAACCCAAAGTTTTCAAGGTTCCACACACTCACGGAAGAAGAGCTAGACGGGGAAGGCGATTCCAAATAATATCTCAAAGCTCTTAGAACCCTACCCACCCAGAAGAGGAGAATTCTATAGTTACCAACCTCGATTTTTTTTATCCACCCCAACTACTACAGGCCAAAAATCAGTGTTTCGCGATATCAGCAACCTGGCCAACGGCGGTTTTAGAATTTTTTGACCTGCAACCCATCTTACTTGAGATCACTGTATTCAAAAACAACCGTTTGTGGCAATATCAATCGTGCCAGTTGTCTAGCATGGTAGCTGGAGTTAAGCAGGGGATTGATAAATATGGCATTTAATAATTTAAAACAATACATATTATTCCAGGTTATTTGACGTTTATTTGTGTTTTCTAGCTATAATTTGTTGGACCAAAATTTAAAGAGTATAGTAACTGGGAATCATGACTTGGAAACTCTAGGTGCAGTAAGAACAATTATACAGACTATGATCACTTGTGAGGGAATTAGCCAAGAGAATATTCATTATTTACAAAATTGCGGTTTTGCTGGACTGTGGAGATTTGCTGGATCATTCTTGAAAGTTAAACAGGTAAAAATCTGAACCTTTTTTTTGAGAATATGTTTAACTTTCTGGGACTTGGAATATTTCAGGGTGAAACACAAAATATGGATGGTCATAGTGAGTTATTTAGAGATTGTCTAATGCAAATGGTAGTGATATATATGCCAACGGAAGATTGTGGTGAAATTGAGCCAGCGGCTGCATTTCCTTCTATATTGAGTGTTAATGATTCAAGTACAAATTTATCAAATTCGAGTTTGATATTATCGCCGACAGATAAAGATAAGGGTTGTTTTGATAAAAATGGTGAAAACGGAATAGAAGAGGGAAGTCAAACTTCTCTTGACAATGGTAATAAAACTTGAGAAGTTACAAAGCGCATTTAAAAAGAATTATTAGAAAAAAACATTTGCCATTTCACTGTAAGTACCTTTTTTGTGTGTTTTCATGTCAATCGATTTCTTGGTGAATTAAAGACTGCTGATTGTTTTTTATTATTTTAAGATTAGGTTTTTTGTTTAAATGGCATGAGATTTTCTTTCAAAAAAATATGTATATTCTAAACTAACAGATTATGATTATGTGAAACTACAATGTACAAATATTATGCATAATTTTTGCCTTATTTACATTTCAGTATTTATTTTTTATTCTAAAACTTTTACATTTAAGTACCTACCTACCTACCTATATTAACTAACTCATTCACTTCAAATTGACCAAATGGAAAATAACTCGTTCCGATTAGTTTTGTTTTTTTTTTCAAGTTAAATCAATGTGGTGTTGTTGGCCAAAGATAACTTTGTTCAAATCCATTTTGAAAATGAGAATTAAATTATCCTATAGACTGTAATGCTAAGGTGCAACGAATATTATTTAACTTTAAATAACATTATAATATTGTAGATATTTTCAATTATATGAATAATAAATAATTTGGAATATTCCCTTGTTTGAACTTTGGTTGTTGTTTCTAACATAGAATCCGATAACTGGCGTTTTCAACCGGAGTTAATAAAAATTATCGCACCACCACTGCACATAAGCACCATAAGCAGTGGTGCGATAATTTTGTCCAGGAGTATATAATGTCTCTCTCAATAGAAATTTAAGGGTTAATGAAAAAAGTGGCCTTTAATTCCATAGACATTATACATAAGACGCAATAAGGAAGATTATATTATTTTTTAAACATATAATTATCATTGATTTTTCTCGGCATTTTGTGGAGACAGCAATTATCGAAATGTTTTTCTTATGAATAAGGCAATAAAAGTCTTATGAAAGATAATTTGATTCTCGTTTTTTCTATTAGGCGAGTAATCTTCTCAAAGATAGAACTGGATGTTAAAATAACAAATTCTCAAAATATTGCATTACTAACAGTTTAAAAATGTATTTTTTTCACTTTTTATGTATCTATTAGATAGGTATTCTTAAAACATTAGGTAATTTTTTTTTTCTTTTACTGAGCTCTATTTGATAATTCGAGATAAGAATTTTCGCCCACTAGTATAATAATTTTATATAGAAATCATTTACTGCCTTCTTGGACCACTTTTTCATGATGTTGAAAAAGCCCTGGAGAAGACCCGGATCAAAATAAATTTTGAACCATTTCTACATTCTGTTTGATCTTGAAGCTAAATATTTTCAAATACATGTATACACATACTTTCCTTTAAATATTACAATCTGGCAGCACTGTTTTTCCCATAGAAATTATTTTACACAATGGAGAGCATATATATATTTTTTTTAAGACAAAAGTTAATGATAAAATAATAATTTTTTGGCAAAACTGTTGAAGAGAAGAAGAAAACATTTTGAATAACTGAGAATATAAATTTCATCAAGGAACCTAGAACAATTCAAAATCGCATTATTTTCCACTCAAAAAAAAATAAATAATTTAACACTAATTTAATAATAACCAACACAAAATGCAAGCAATGACTTCCAGTTGCTGCGATGCACCAGTCAAATATTCAAATGATACTTGAAATGTGTGTGAAACTTTTACCCCATTCAAAGCAACTATATCGGAAAAAAATCCATTCCAGAAATTCTTCTACAATTTTCAAAAAATTCTGCTACAATTTTCAAGTCCTGCCATTTTTAAATCACTTCCAAAACTGCGGTCCAGGTATTCAAAGGCAATTTTGGACATTAGCAATAAGAACGACAATCTGACAAATTTACAATACTTACTAATTTGCAGTATATTATTGCTTGTTGGAGCGAATGATGTCATATTTGGCATTCCCTAAAATAGTGTTAATATACTTAATTTGTATCATGATTTAAAAAAATAAAAATAAAAAAAAAATCTCCACATTCAACCAATCACTTTATGAACATCCTCAATCGGGTCAATTCTGTAACTCAAATCGAATCGACAATCGAAAACTTGAATCGATAACTGTGGACATTTTCCCACAATTATCTCTTTTTATAAAGAGTCCCTTGCGTCAACATGATGTTCCCCAGAGTGGAGAGAATGCCCACAAACATTGGCGACTCTAGTGTGCCAAACGTCCTGTGACTGATGGGCCAAATAGTTGACCAACTAAACCAAGAAAGGATAGGTTTTTGCACAAAATTATGTTCACCTGAAAAAGCAATAAATAAGGACGGAACAGATACTTTTGTCTTCTTCGTCAGTATAATATTGAAGTTAAATTTTGTATTGATGGTATTTTGGTAATTTTCAATTCATTCTATATTTTTATTCCGTTAACTAGAATTACCTAATACATATTTGATATTGGGTCATTTTAAGAATAATATCAGTTATGTTGTGATTTTTTCCCAAAAGTTTGAAAAGAGATGTACAAGGTCATCCAACGAATTTTTTGGTACCATTTTTGAGTTCTCCAGAAAAAAATGTTCCAATTGGCTATTTTGAATTTTCTCTAAAATACTGGGAAAGTCAAAAATAATCCCCTGTTCAGTCCTCGTTGGATGACCCTGTACAGGCTGGCCCATTTTCGATGTTTTAATAGGCTGTATCGAAAACCAGCAGAGATATCAAAAATCTGGGAGCACATTCTCGAGCTCTTTTTTTGAGAAAATAACAATGGCGAAGACAAATCACGGCTAACGTGAAATCAGCTCACAAAGAGCTATTCAATAAAAAAATAATATACGGGGTGTTCCATTTAAAAAAACACAACTTTGGTCAATATTCCAAAGTCGGAGGCATCTGGAGAAAAATTGGTCATGCCACTAGATTCTCCTTGAAAAACTGCCTATAGAAAGTATTTTTCGTTTTTGGATATCTTAAATAATAAGGAAATTAGAGAGTCTTTTAAAATTGGACAAAATTTGAAAAGTGCCCTGTATTTCCTAAACGCATCAAGTTAGCCGTGATTTGTCTTCGCCATTGTTATTTTCTCAAAAAAAGAGCTCCAGAATGTGCTCCCAGATTTTTGATATCTCTGCTGGTTTTCGATATAGCCTATTGAAACATCGAAAATGGGCCACCCTGTACAGTGTGTGAACCAAATTCAAGGGCCAACATGGGGATATCGGTAATCGTTAGAGATACGAGGGTGGTTAAAGTAGACGAAAGTTAAGGCGCATTTATGTGCCTAACATATCGCCAGAGAAATAAAAAAATGTATTGTCACGGCTCTGGGGTGCGTGACAGAAATCTTAGGTTCGTTTATTCCAAAATCAAAGTCTATTTAACACAACAATAATTTATTCGACGTTACTACAGACTCTGGCCCTAATTACTTCACTAATTAACTCAAACTGCACTTGATAACACCTACCAATTTCAATTTGATAGGGACAATTAATAATTATTATGCTGAGATTCAATTGAAATGCAATTCAGGAACAGTTAGGTATTGGATTCAGCCAGTGGGCCAAACGGCCCCCGACACTGGGCGAGTCCTTAACAGATGTACCTCGCAGTCAAAACATAGTCTAAAATCCATTTATTCACAACACTTTGGTTTGTTCTTCTTCCACAAGTAAGGCCTTCTTTTGATTAGAAGACTCCATAAGAGCTTGTTCAATTATCATATCACTATAAGTTACACCGAAATGTGTATCTGAAGCTGAAAATATTTTAGTTTCAGGTACTTATTACTTCTTCCTAGATTTTTTCAAGAAAACGATTGCGTATACGAAAAACATACTGAGAGAGGGAGCAACACGCTATAATTGTTACGTGCTTACACAGCAGGTACAACTTAGGACATTTAATAAACACTTTAGGGAATTTTCCGCGCTGTAACCATGTAACATTTTTACTAGTAGTTACATCATACCATTTTTTTTTTCTACTTATGGTTACCTCATACCTCACCGTTTAATATGTCAAATGAGATACCATGACGTCATAGTATGATCATACCTGGTTACTTGTGGTTACAGCGCGGAAAATTCCCTTTTATATTGCTTTTAAATGAACTATTATTTAATTATTATTATTATCTGGTCAATCCACCACACTCCAGCCTGTGTGTGTCTGGGTGAGTTCACCTTGCTGGGCATCAGCTGTTTTGTGTCACTGACGTAACCACTGGTGATGTCACATTCAAAACATACAGGACCGGCTTTATATACTTGTGATTACATTTTGATCATCTTCTATAAGTAATTCTCAAAAATTTCTGATAACTCCTTGTTTCCATTTTCACAGGTCCCTTCCATTCCTATGTAGACGATTAAAAACTCATTAGAAATAGAAATTTCTTCCACAAATTTGTAATGTTGATACAACTGAAATTGACAAATATACAATAGAAAACTAAACTCCACTTAGAATAAATTTAAACTTAAATGTTAGTAATGCAATATAATGATCTTTATTTTATTTTATTAATACCAGATTACTGAAAGTAAAAAACAATATCAGTACCCAAAAAATCTATTTCTAATTTTTGTATTTATAAAATATATAGTAGGTATATACCTAGAAGGGGTTGGCCATAGTTCCTTATAAGGTACTAGTTTTACAAAAATCCTTACAGCACATGGGTGAATTTTTTTTAATACTATTATTGTTAGAGTTGTCATTCTTTGAATAGGACAATATATTTGATTTTTGCTACAATGAATAGGTATGTCTTAGGATTCAATAAAATTCAACTACGGCCTACCAAAATTTCAAATTTATATTCTGCCTTATTTTTGCGCAGAAATACTCGTGTACAAAATATTTTTACTATATCATGCTAGTATGTAGTGAAAACCAAATATATTCTTTAAGAAATTATATCTTTGGTAGATTTATTTGATTCATAAATGCAATTATGGCACATGTTTATGCATTATAGTAATAAACAAAAAAAAACTAAATGTTCTTATAAGTTTTTTAGAATGGTCAACTTTACACTGCCAGAAATATTTTAAAATAAATCTTTTTGTGTGTTAGAGGACTTTCCATAATATTTACAGTACAGCAAAATCAATAATAAAATATAATAATGTCCTCCGTGCTCCTAATTATTATGGCTATATTTATAATAATCATATTGTTTTCCAAAAACGAAACTTTTAAGTCCTTTTGAGTTATATTAAGGTGTAAATGTAACGTTATGCCTCACACTACCACTTTTTGAAAGATTTTAGAGTACGACGACTTGTAAAATTTCTCTGGTCAAATTTGGTAATTGCTTCTCTAAACATTTTTTTGGAGGGTAATTTTTTATATCGGTCGTTCCAGTTCATTTACAACTTTTAAGCGTCTTTCAAGTAGTCGCCTCGATAGAGAACAATTTAAACTATAATAAATTGAGCGCATTAAATTAACCTCACCTTATACACAGGACTAATAATTTTCTTACCTTGATACTTGTATCAAGTATTCGAGGAAAAGGCAATCACCAAGTCTTCCTTCACTGATGAAAATATTTTCAATTTTACTTTAAAGTCCAACCTGTTTCGAAACTATAATGTTTCAGCATCAGGGTCAGAATTTGAAAAATATTTTAGTTAAGGGTGTGGCATCCAGGTGGTATATAATTTATTAAAAGAAGCGGAACGATGAATGGTTGATCCTCACTGTTGGGGCCCATCTTCTGGCTTAATAAAACATTTTGGAAAATTAGCAAAGGAAAAAAAAATTAAAAAATAATTATTGTAAAAAACATCTAGGAGGCATTGTCTGTGGACAAAGGTAAAATTTCTAATTTCATCCATTGAGGATGCTTCCTGGATCTATTTTTTTATTATTAATAAATCAAAAAATTGATCAATACATTTTTCTTTTTCATTTGCTAGCTTCCTTGGATTCACACCTCTATAAGACATTTTTGTATTTCGGTTACTTAATCAGGAGTAAGGCAAAGAAAATGCTGGAATTAGGCGCAAGCAGGACCAAAATTAAACTTTCATCACCAGTGGAGCAAATATAGAGGATTAAGTTTTGATTTTAAAAAATCTAATTCAGTAGGTAAAGAATGAGGCAAGTCGTGTCTGGATAGAACTGCGGCGTTATAGATATGGAGGAGGACGGATAAAATGCAAAGTGAACCCGGGCAATAGTGCTATGTGCTGTAAAAAACCTAGTTTCACAATGTAAGACGCTTCAGTCTGCCCAATTTGCATTTGGCGATGAATGTGTAACAGTTTGGAGCGGCATTCAACACAATTGAAAAATAGAACCTGTTTCTTTAGGAATCGGAAACTTGCTAGGGTTGTAGCATTGTAAATCTCACTGCTCAATCATCGTTTTATCTAATCCAAGATTTGAGTATACAAATATCTGGTCTAGGTTGTACATCATACATCCTCGAATTCCTGTGCAGACCCGAAGCTCGAATTCTACTTGAACATAATCTCGTCGTCATTTCTCCTCAACATAAACCGGCAACCGTTTATTTTGCTCTGGAGTCGCTCGTCCATGCAAACTTGGCTGGATTGATTTCTGGTCAAACATTGATGGAAGGCTGGTTACGCCAAAACCCAAACAAATCGAGTTCTTCACCCAAAAAATAATTTCTCTATTTTGAAAACAACCTTTTCTCTTTTAAGCCAATATGGATGGATGTATTGTTGACAGAAATATCTGTAATAGGCTGATAATATTTTCCGGAGAGTCGAGTTTTGAACCTCGCGAAGGATCTTATCAAGACAGTGAGGTTATATTTACGCCAGAAAATGTTTCATTCAAGAACCCTCTCGGTACCAGGATTATTTTTTTGAGGAATAGGTTCGGTTTATAAAGTTGTTGATAGAAGTGAAAGGTTCTGGTGAAAGGCCAGCAAATTATAAGTTTTTTTTTTGGTTCATTTTTCCATATTATAATTCTAGTTAATGAATGTATTAAAGACAATTAACCTCTTTTCGCACGCAACTTCTTACGAAAGTTTTATATCATATCTGCTTGTGTTTAATCTCACTATTTTTATGGCTTATTCTCTAATAGATCAACGAAATAGTATTTTTTAAATTTTAAAGCCCCGATTGCACGCCAATATCCAAACTAGTTTCACCAGACATTAAAATAAGTATTTTTAGTTCCCATTTTAAATGAGGGTTAAATATTAATTTTGTTGTAAATATTAAATGGAATGTCTTCCCGTTACTGATTTTAAATTGATTAACATAACATTTAATTTTAAATCTACAATTTTCTAGCTTATTCTAGAAGAAATCTATTGGCAGAAATATGTGAAGTAAGTTAAGGGCACAATTTAATAAAGGAGTACGCACATACAATTTTTTTTACGTAAATAGTGATCATAGTAGTCTATAACACCAAACCGATTCTAAACATTTTATAATATTGTAATTAGTGTGTAATCTATTAGGAAATAATCTTAGATAAGTCGCATTTAATACAACTTGCAATCTTCGAAGTCTAAAATTTCAAAACGGGTAATTTTGCTGTTTTTTTTTTTCATGCATATATATTGTATTAATAGTCCAGGTCCGTCTCTAATTGTACCAAAAAGTGTTTTAATTTTTAGATATACCTATAAGTACTACTTAAATGAGTAGGTATATAAACCTGTCTTTTACATCTCCAAACAAAATGTGTTTTATGCTAATCTTGTATATACCCATGTACCATGTTTTAATAGTGGAATAATAATAACTACAAAAAAAAAATAAAAATTCTTGGCCAATTGAATTAACTATCAGGTTTTTGTTAATTGTAATACTCTTTATTAACTTTTGAAAGTAAATTTATTTGGTAAAATGAAGATCCTCTAGAAAGTAAATAAGATCATCCAAACCGCCCAATTTAATTGTTGGTTTGGCAACATTTTCCTTGTCAGTACTGTGTAAATACTTTTTCTTACAACGGCCTCTGAAAATGGAATTTTTCACACGCTAGACTAAGCGCTAGACAACCTCTGAAAATAGAGTTTTTCGCACAGCGTACGAGAATGTTTTTAACATGCTGCTAATTAGTTTTTTTTTATTTATTTTTGTCCTATCATCCTGACATGACAACATAAATTGCAATTGTCACCAATTTTTGGTGTTGTTGATTTGTTTTCTAGCAAATAGAAATTACATATTTGGTCGTTTAAAAACCTTTTTTCACACTTGCTCGACTTGTGGAACTCGTTTACGGCTCGGTCCAACAAACTGTCTCGCCGTGCGAAAAAATACGTTTGTTTAAATAACTATTACGAAAGTTCTTACATGTAGCACACGCAATTCAATTAAAAAGTCAAAATGCCAAGCAATTTCCTCATTCGAAAGCTGAGGAAAATATCCTAATAACAACAATGTAGAAACTATTTTCAAGAGGAATAAACTACAACACTGGACAGATATTTCGGACATAGCTGGTAACTTAGTTGTAAGTCCCATAATAATCATAATGAAAACTTGTTGTTGAAACTGATGTCATTGAAAAAAATCCACACAAGAGTGTCAAACATCTTGCCCCCTACTCTAACAGCTTCTTCTGAATTTATATGTATTGGTGTATACTAAAGATTCATTCTTTTAAAGAGGCTCATGCTTGCGTGCCTATATAAACTCCTAGCGCCTGATTTTCGAAACAAGGCAGGAACAAGAAGCGGCCTCTGCAGTTCCGTGCAAAAGTTCACATGTGTAACCAATACAGAAAATTCGGTTTTCAACAGAACGCTTTTGTTTCAAGAATCAGGCGTCGAAACATAAATTAAGTGTCTCGTTAATGACCAGTTATAGCCGGTATATTATGGTTCTTAAAATTATCCAAACAAAAAATGCAGACTAGCTATCTGGATTTGCCAAATCGATCTTAAAATTTGTAGTAGACACGTTGAGAGAGAAAAAAGAAATTAAATAAATAAATAAATAAATTTCTTGAGCAGAAACCATTGTTTTAAACAGAGAATAAAGAAAAACACTAGATTGTTATCGCTAAGTGAAATGGCAAAACAAAGAATAAATAAACATAAACCTTAAAAGTATAACAAAGAAAAAAGAAAAGTAAAGCTATTAGAACCTATGATGCTACCCATTGATATGTGGTAAATTTATGTGGGATTACCCAGGAGAAAAAATACTTGACTTTACAGGAGCTCAAACTGTTTTTTGGGGACTATCATGAACATTGATGCTAATAATTCATAAATGGACATTCCCTCTCTTTTCTTGTCAAGGGTCTCTGTATTGGATTTGTGTATTATAAATGTGAGAGTAAAGAAGAAACTTACTTAAGGATTGTACAGATACCTATTTAAGTATTTCACGGATGGAGATCTATCCGATGTTTCATTAACCCTTGAGGTAGACCCTATCTTGTGACCTAATTCTGTTCCTAAAAATTCTGTCTTATTAGTACAATTGAATACATATTTATATATCACGTGTAACTCCATAAATTTTGTGACCAAGTCCATGCTTACATTGGCGTTACATAAAAGGATATAACTTTCCAAATCTTCCTGCTTTTTTGATTTCGTATAAAATGTGAGTATTTTCTGGCATTTTATAGTTTAGTAATTAGGTACCTACTTAATCCATGATTCATTTCAAATTCTGTAGAGGTGTGGTCCAGGTTTACTTATGTAGGCATAGTCAGTGTTAGGAAAAACCATTTGTTTTTCGGGTCCGAATGTTCGCAAAATGTATAAGTCCATTATTGTTGACAACGTCTTACCATGTCGTCCAACAATGAGACTATTCAGCTGTTGACCTGTTCTACTGCTACTGTTTATCTCATCTGGAAGAATCTGTCTTTCGTGGCTACATCTGAATTTTCTGAATGATGATTTATCGCCTAGATTCTAATATTCATTTTCATCAGACTTTCATTTACGGCTGCCCAGTTGGTAATGAGCTTTCATAATCTTCTGCTAATCAACATGGATAAGTCCTTGATGGCTACTTTTTTCCTTTGCTTCTTTACTATAAAAATTATCATATTGTTCTCCGATCCTTCCCATTTTATCTTTGTTTCTGTTATTACTCCTGCTTCTATTTCCTCTCTACCAACTTCGTGCATAATTTCATTAACTTTTCGAGTTATTCCTTATACGTGCAATGTACAAAAAATAATAGTCCTTTAGGCGGTTACACACGGACGTGGATGGCTTGATATATATACGTGCATTCATCAACGTGCGAACAACAACGTGCATGTCACTTTTGTACAGACGCTCGCACAAAACTGTCAGTCTTGCTACTCTTGCTACAGTATTCTGAGTGTGCATACAAAATTTCTAGCGATTCCAGAATTCATTTGAGCGTCATTCTACAGTTTGCACATTCAAAAACGCGACGGTATTTTGCATACACATTGATGTTTTTGTTCGCGCGTTCATGTATGTGCGTACATGTTTTCAGACATTCACGTCCGTCTGTGACCGCCTTTTGCGTTCACTTGGGTGGTCTTTAGGCGGTTACACACGGACGTGGATGTCTGGAAACATGTACGCACATACATGAACGTGCAAACAAAAACATCAATGTGTATACAAAATATCGTCGCGTTTTTGAATGTGCAATTTTGTATGCACACTCGGAACACTGTAGCAAGAATAGCAAGACTGCAGTTTTGTACGAGCGTGTGTACAAAAGTGCCATGCACGTTCTTGGTTGCACGTTGATGTATGCACGTATATGTATTAAGACATCCACGTCCGTGTGTGACCGCCCTTTGGTTTTCCCGGTTCTGTTTTCGAGGCATATTAAAATATGCATAGTTTAAATATTGTCGCTCCGAGTTCCTTGTTTCGCAAACACTTATAAGTCGGAAAAATGTTCACGCCAATTCAGTTGTTTAAAATTGATAAGTGGGAATACCGATTAAAATTTAAATTAAGTTTATATTAGGTCTGTTCCAACACGTCATAAACCGTCCCATGAACGGTTTAGAAACCACTCTGTATACGAATTGAGGATTCTACGCAAAAATTTTATGGTATGGTTTCCTGCTGTGTTGGAACAAAACTATTGTAAATTAAGAACTGATACTTGGCATAGAACCTTGACTCAAATAATAAAAAATAAAATGAAACCTGCAATTTGCATATTCTACCTCCCCTAGCTTGTTTTTAATATCTGACAACCAGGAGCCTAAATTATCCGATAGATCGTTTTGATGGCCCAGTTGGTATGACATAAAGTGTTATTTTTGCAAGCGATTTTCGAGCAGTTTACAAAGATTGTGTATAGATTTTGTGCAGGGATAAATTTCGTAATTTATTCAATTTATCGTTCAGGGAATTGAAATAGGTACCTCTTGCGTGTAAGTATTGTGGTGCATGTTTGTTAACAAAAACTAATAGAAAACAAAGTTAGGTAAACAAGTTTTTGTGGAGATGTTTCGATGTTTAGGCTTAATTATAATAAATATAAATGATATAATGAGATTTTATATGAGAAGAATTGTCAAAACTAATATAAAACGGTTTTTTACTGATTGTCAGAAATAATTTAATACGCTTTTTGAAGTATAATAAACTGTGATAAATCTATGTGTATAGCGGTTACGATTATAATTTTTTAATAAAAAACAGTTTTCTGTAGTATGCGCCTTTGCAAATTTAATTTCAATACGCTTTGTATAACTTTATTAATTTTATTGTAAACTAGAAAGCAATAACTGGCAGAAAAACATAAATTTTTACAAATTTTATGTACTTATAAAAAAATATTGTTGTACATACTTTTTAATGTTTGTAGACTAACATTACTTCAACGTCCATCACTTTTTCAAATTAGGAATAATTGTTGTTTCCCTTGTTCCCCCAAATATGAACTATGGCCACCAATTCAGATTTGAATCTATCTGTTACAGTAACGTTGTAAAAATCTTGATCTTTTAAAAATATATTTGTTTAGTGAAAAGGAGAGTTTTGTGTACATATTCTTGCAGCTATTTTAAGCTAGGTTCATGACAATTTTGAAGCTAGTCGCTTTATCTTGAACTTACTGACCCAGTGACTTCTACTTACTTTCTTTACCTTAATATAATTGTTTTAATAAGTACCTATGTCACTTGAACCTTATTGTACATTAATAGTTCAAATCGTGGTTTAGCTGAACTTTGAGTTCTTTATAGATGTTAATTTCGTTCGTAGGGTATAGAGTCTACCCGACTTCAACCAGACTAAAGTCTGCCCAAGAAAAACAGAAAGTGTGGTGAAGCGTAGCACATCTTTTTCATTGTGGAAGTCGAATACAATTCCATCAATAACAATAATTTTCATTTTGTCAATGCAAATGTTTGATTCGATTGACGCAGAGAAATGGGTGCTATTTATTTTTTCTTTGCATTCCTCCTTTTCTTAATATGCAAGTTGATCTTATTCTGGCCAGACTATACGATTTAAACCAAAATGTACAATTAGGTAACTAACTACCTGTGACTTTCGATTAGACATTACAAAATCGTTGCGCCAGCCTATTTGAACATTTACAATATATTACTGTCAAGTTATTATAATTTTGATATATTTATGATAGCAAAAACTGGTCCCTATAATTATTAGGTATGTACCAAACAATGCCTCCATATTTTTATATTTTAATGTGCTTGTTCCTCTACAGGTATCAGTAGATTGTAATAATTGTAACATGATCAGAAATTGGCTCAAGAGCAAGGGGGCCATGTTTAATTTAATGATGAAAACAATCAAGAAAAGAAAGTAAGCATGATCCGAGGTGTAAACCTTTAATAATTAGGTACCTATTTATTTGAAAAATAATTTGTTAGATATAGTTAAGTATTTATCTGTTCAAATATAATGTGATACTAAAGACATGATTTTGTTAACTTACTGGGTACTTGAACCTGGTAAAGAAGTATACAGCTTCTTAAATAAGTTTAAGTATATTTTAATATTGCGACTTTTTTTTAATCGCATATGGTTGTTCCAATAATATGGCATATGTCTCTCCTGATCGTAATTGTTATAAAAATAAAATGTTTTCATATTTCCTAGTTTATATTTGGAATATTGTCTTTTGAGCTCACTTTAGGTACTTGTTTATCTATATGTAAAATTCTATTTGTGATAGATTTATTGCATTGTATAAATGGAAAATGTATGTTTCTTAAGAATATGAACATGTTTGTATCTATGATATTACAAATATATACATCAGAACGTCTAAGTTTTTTTGTAACATCCATAATACCCAAAGGTCACCAAACTTGCAGGAAGTAGAGAAGGATCAATGGACCTCTTTCAAGTAGCGCATATAGAAAGGGAGCTGTGAGCGGCGAGTCGCAGCCCTATAGCTGATCTTTTTTTCTGTAGATGGGGAGTGGAAGCTTTTATAGACACCTTTTCCTGATGGACATGAAGTCTGTCCACTTTTGGAATGTAACATCATATGCCATTTTTATTTATGCTGTAGTTCGGATTAACTACAACAATATTTGTTTTTGGAAAGACTTTATTAAATTCAGCAATAAAATACAATGACAATTAATGTGACAAAAATCAAAACTCGACTTGCTGGTTAACGTACTTTCAGGTATGTCCTGGTACTTCTGGTACTGTTTCCTATCATTTTTTTGAAAAATAAAATCCTCTGAATACTAAGGTTTTTTTTAACCTTCCCGTTCTTCTAACTTGACTACCTAAATTATATTCCTTCGTTCTTGATAGTCGATCATTTCGTCTGTTGTTAATTCTATTGAATTGTTATTATCTGGTATATTTTCAATGATAACTTCTCGATCTACACACTGATCTGAGCTTTGTTCTACGTTGTCTTGCAAATTAAACTCTTCATTAAAAAATTTAATGGGATCGGAAAACTTTGATTTGGTTCTTCAACATATCTTTTTTCAATTTGGATTAGTATGACATCTTCTCAATATATGTATTGTGATTATTTGGATACAACACAAGCATATATTGTACATCACATTGCCAATTGGTTCTATGATTTATCCAGGAATCCAACGGTGTTTGAAATTTTATTAATCTGGATATTTTTCGGAGGAAGTAACCAATCAAGAGGAATTCTCATTCTTTATAGCATATTTTCAGCATGAGTAGAGTAGACCTGTACACTCCTAAAAATATTTTTATATCTTGTAATTGCCTATGACTTCCTCGTTGAATTTTTGAAAGTGCTCTTTTAAAGGTGTCAACAAACTTTTTTGCCTGATCATTTGACTGTGGCCAATAGGCTGCTGTGCGAATATGTTCAGTACCATTCTTCTCACAAAATTGTTTTAATTCGTTGCAAGTGAATTGACTGCCATTGATACAACTGTTTCAACAATTCCAAATCGTGAATATAATTCTTCTAATTTTGATATTGTAAAGCTTGACGTGATTATTTAGTTTCAAAAACTATATGAATTCGTTGCCATGGACCCTTTGGAACAGGCCATCATGCTAATGCTCAGATCAAAGCAATCAAATATTCATCATTTGATTGTGTCTGTCTAACTAATCGACAAAATATCTGCGTGACCAAAATCGCTGATTTTAATATATTGCATCTTGAAGTCATATGGTTTGAGAACTAATGCTAATCTTTGAAGTCGATTTAAACCGAAAATAGACTACGTTTATTTCACACGATTAATCCGGCTTAATTGTGGATTGACTTAAATAAGGATTAAAATTTAGGCTAATTCCCTAGTGTTTATATCGATCCGAAAAATTGGATTAGATTTATTATTTAATCCGTATTTAAGCCAGTTATGTGCGCGAGCGCGACCAATGCGCCTAGCCTCGCTTCAGAGAATAACAAACATGAGCTGTCAAAGTATCAGCTAGTTATTGGCGGTAAGCTTGGTTTTTGAGGGTTGGGAAATGGAGAGTAAAATAATTGTTTTCCCTGTTTATTTTCATTTTCGAATATGATTCTTTGGAAAATTTTAATACAGGAAATAAATGCAAAATTTATAAACAAAACAAATAAATACCTAACCTCAAAATAATGTTGACAGTTGAAAATAATGAAGTTGACAACAAACAATGCTACTAATCCGGATTAAGGCGTTTATATCGGAATAGTGGATTGAAAATCTTAGTCCAATCCTACACCTTTGCAGGATTCACTTGAAATTTTAAGCTGGCTTAACATCTGCTTAAGCGGTGTTTATTTCACAATTTTTAATCCGATATTTAAGTCAATCCACAATTAAGCCGGATTAATAGTCGTGTGAAATAAACGTAGTCATAGTCAAAAGAGGTTTATGTGTTTGTAAAGTGAAATTTCGACCATAAAATCATTCTGTGACAGCAAATATTGAGGCCAATGCCTCCTTCTCTATTTGACTGTATCTCTTTTCTGTTCCAGTGAGAGTTCTAGATGCGTGCCATATAGGTTTGATAGTGCCATTTCAAAATCTGTGTAAAATACAGGCTCCTATCCCAGTGATAGTTACGTCGCCCGCTACAATGATTTCGTGAACTGGGGGCCAATTTTTGGGAATGCACGTTTATTTGCGTATTCTTAAAGAAGCGCACGATATGAAACGTTCACTTTTCTTTGTACCAATTTTTGGATGACGTGCGCAAGTCAAAAAACGTCTGAGTTTAGCATTCGCAGCAATACGCAAGGTTGATCAGGCAACACTGCAAATTGAGAGATTTTTGTACTAATGAGGAAAAAAAAAAGGTTGTGTAAACTGTCGACCTTTGACAAATTTTCAACTTTATGAAAAAAATGTCGTAAAACAAGAAGAAACGGAGTGCAAATGCATCAGATAAGCAGAAAAAATTGCTCATGGACTATGTGAAAAGGAAAATGCAACTAATTAGCGGTAAACAAACACAAATGAAGTCTGTAATTCGCAGTGCCGAGTGCCGAATGGATGTAAGGTTCCCAAAAATTCGATCAAATGTAAAACAAGATCTTTTGTTAATCGAAACAACTTAATAAATTGTTGATGGTTAAGCTCTATGAAGGGATCTCGATGGTAATGCTGGTTGTTTGGTCGATTTTCTTGGTCTGCAGACTGCAATTTCTATATTTTGTATTGCGAACATATTTATTAGTTCTTCCATTTTCAATAGTTTATATTTATCACGACAAGAACCCACAAGTGCCACAAAGTTCGCACACAAATACTGAACAAATAGACAGACGAAATAAAATAATAAAGGTCGATACAACCACAAATGCAGGTACGTCAGCGCATAGGCAACACATCGGCGAGTCTCTCGCCGCTCGCAGAAAAACGTATAAAAATGTGCGCATACGCAAAGATGCGAATACTCAGAAATGGGATTTCATAATCTTCGTACATTTACGTAGACTTTCTTTAGTTACGAATGGTCAAAAATTGGCCCCCTGGGTTGTAGTTGGTTAGACTTAGATCCGACTTCAAATTTTTTTAAAAATTTTTCAAACGATTCTTAACATTCTGCTGTCCATAAAAATTGTATTCCTTTTTTTGGTCCATAATTCGTTCAGTGGTTGACGTAACATGTGTATTTCTTTGATATATTCGCCATAATAGCTTATTGCGCCAGGATAGGAACGTAGAGTGTTGAAACCATGTGGCGGTGGCATATTCCAGAATAGCTTCAGTTTTTGCTGGATCTGGTTCTAACTCACCTTCACTTGAAATATATCCCAAATACCTAATTTCTTCGACTCTAAATTCCCATTTTTGTAATCTTAAGTGAAAACCAAACTTTTCTTTAGGCTTTAGGACAAGATTTAAATTTTGAAAATGTTCTTTCTCTGCTTGGCCTGATACTAAAATGTCATCGATATATGCCGTGGTTCCTTTCAGACCTGATAACATGGTATCCATAACTTGTTGAAAAATGACTGGGGCAACTTTTATACCAAATGGCATTCTATTGTATTGAAACAATCCATGATGAGTGTTCATTGTTGAATATTTTCTTGATTCTTTACTGATTTCAATTTGAAGGAAAGCATCAGAAAGGTCAATGATACTAAAAATTGTAGCATTTTGTAACTTTGAAAAAATTTCTTCGGCTGTTGCAAGAGGGTAATGGTGACGTAGAAGTGCTTCATTGAGACCAGTAGAGTGATCGCCACATAATCTGACATCTCCGTTTTGTTCCTTTGTAACTACAATTGGAGCTGCCCAATCAGAATATTCAACTAATGATATGATATTTTTTTCTTGCAACCTTTGAAGTTCGTGGTCAACTTTATCCCCGACTGAATAAGCTACTGGTCTTTTTGCTTTGAAAATAGGAACTGCATCTTCTTTTATATGAAGATTAACTTTGGTTTTTTACAGTGACCTAATGTTCCTTGAAAAACTTTAGGCAAGGCCAATTTTAATGATTCTATATTGATTGAAAATTGTTTTGATTTAACAACATTGCAGACCGAATTGAATGGTGTGTCCCATAAACCAAATTTTGTGATCCAATCTCTACCCAGTAAATTAAGATCGGGTATTGAAGTGATGAAACATTGACCTTGGAAACTATTTTGTTTGAAGCTTATTATACATTGAGATTCTGCTTTTAAATTAATTTTATCACCTGAAGCTCTTTTGGCATCATGATTTGTGGGCTGACACTCTGGTTTTCCTATTTTTGTCCATGTTTCTTGTAAGATAACCGTGATATCTGAAGCTGCATCAATTTGGACTTGAAGAAATTTTCTTTCAGAAGTTGACCCAATATGATTAACATCATAAATGGCATTTGATCTTGCATTTTTCGTATTATAATTTGTCTTAAAACTTTTATTTTGGTTTCTAAAATCGCAAAACCCTTCTTTATGACCTACTTTATGGCATCTTTGACATGTGTGTTCTTCAAATGAACAAAATTTTGCGGCAAAATGTAGTTTGCCGCAATACCAGCAAGGGTTGTTTGGAACTGCAGTACCATCGAAATGGCATTTACATTGAAAGACGGATCTTCAGTCATTTGGGCGTCCTTCTTTATATTTTTGATACTTCTAACATTCAGAAATTAAACTTTCTAATGTATGTTGATCATTATTGCTATTAGAATCTAATTTAGGTATTCAAAATTCTGGTTCGTATTTCACTATCTTTACTCGATTGTAAGCCACCAGTACCTTTAAATTAAACATTTAAATTAGTTTGCTGTGATTTGATTTATCTTGGATTCTTCACACATTTTGTTAACACGTGAAGCAAATGCGATAAAATCTTTCGATTCATTTTTATTCAACTT